TATCTCGAGTATGCCGGACTATCCTCAACCTTGGTTTTCTAACAGCTTGCAGGCGAGGCCAAGGGAACTGCCGGGGCGACTATTCCCGATATAATCCAGTGTGGCCCGCTAGTCTATCGAGAGGGCTAGCCCGTAAGTACAAATATGCCATGAAGGTCCACTTGGGACTGGGCATTACACCGGCACTGTCGAGATGCAGCTCTCTGATTTGTCACGACGCTTGTTTGTGTTTTGGTCAGCTGGACTTGAATATTCTCGGGGAGGTCGCACAGTTTCAGCTAGGTGTCGTTCGATGTGGACTTGCCCACCCCCTGAGGACTTGTTTTACGATATGCGTCTCCTCGGGTGCGAGGAAAAGAGGCTGGCGAGGTCGTGTTTTCGTAGGGTGCGACTCGCGATGGTTTCCCACGACGGCAACCAGCATGACGAGAGGATGCGGATGAATCCTGTAGAGCAGCGCTACTGGAGGAAGAACTTATTGGTCTGCGACAGATTCTCAACAAAAGTTTGAGGGGTTGGATGAGAATGTGCTCGGCAGCTGCTCCAAGGGCTTGATGGGGAGGCAGCCGGATCCTCTACGATCTCCTCGCCTTCTTCGTGTTGGTGTTGTTGTGCTTCGCTCATGAGACGAGAAGCCCCTGGCCGTTGGCAGGCCTTGTCAACTGGTGAAGGCTGGCGAGGACAAATGTGTCCAAAGATGACCTGTCGATTAGGAAATGACAAAATCCAATGTTAAGGAGGGGGCAGTGGGCGGGAGGCAACGCCGATGGGCTCTGTGATCTCTGGAGATGCTGGTTCTGTTGTTCCGACCGTAATCCCCGCGATTTGAAGTCGACGTTGAAGTTAGAGGGATATTAGACTCAGCAACATCTTATTTACACTTGCAGTTGTACAAAGAGCTCATGTATTCATCTTCACGCAGTGCGTAGCACCTCGTGAATCTTGACAAGACAGCCAAGGACCTGGGACTTCTGTATAAACAGACTCTCTACTGAACATCACAGCTGGAGAGGAATTATGAGCTACTCAAATTTACTTACGGTCGTCCAAGGTAGATACAAGATCCTGGCTTTCGTGACCAGGTGTTTGCCCGTGTTGCCAGAGATTTTCTACAGTATCTGGCGCTCTGTCTACTGCATGGCAGACACTTCCATTCAGATGGGAAAGAAGATCTGTCGATCCAGCTGCCACAATCACGCCATTTCCTTTGAATCTCGCTCTTCATGATGGAGTCTATTGATTTTTCTATGACGCACAATCGAAAACGCTGAGCAAACATGGTCTAGTAAACACGGTGAGCATATTTGCCCCTGATGAGCTCCCCCTTTTTCATAATCACCCAGGGTATCGGCGCCATAAGCAAAGCAAAAGCAGCAAGAATCGTATTTCCCCACCCCAAACCCAAAGCGTCGTATAACGGAGGTCCTGCAAGAGGAAGAAATGCCCCAAAAATGCTCCTGAAAATTGTCGAAGCGGCGAGAGCTGACGCAGCGTGCATAGTAAATGCATCGACAAGATACGAGGCCAGCGGGCCAAACACAAACAAGATCCCGACCCCAACAATAAAAGTTCCAATCATCGGCACCAGCCAAAACACCCCCTTTTCTGCCGTCCAACCGTACATCAGAAGCCCTCCTGGTATCACCGGCACAGAATACGCCATCAAAGGAAGGCGAAACTCCGGTGTCCGGGCGCCACGCTTCTGAGATAGCGATGTAGCTACTTTGTCCCCCCAGAAAGAGACAATAAGGGTGCCGGTCACTGTACCAATACCGACACCCATGAAGGTGAGGCCGGAAGAGCCTGCGGAGAAGCCGTACTTCTCAGTGAAGACTATTGCTACCGTCGTGAAAAATAGGTACTTGCAAAGGATTGTCAGCTAAATTCGACACGAGTAGAGCGGCTGCCGTACCAAATATCCGTAGATGACTGCAAAGTATGCAGACAAAGTAAACACAATGGGATGAAGTATCAAGAGCCTCAGCGGTCGTTTGATGGCCCGAGAGAAGGCCTCTTTGGGTGAGACGCCGTCGTCTAGAACCGAAATGTATCTGGGATTTCCCGTACGCTTTCTCGTCTTTTGCGCTCGTTTCTCGAGCAGAGCTTTTGCAGAAGTTTCCCTAAGAATCAGAAGCATCGCGAGTCCAAGAGCGCCGGCCTGTGGCACGAAGCCTTTGTCAGTGACGTTGTCTTTTGCCTGTTGTACAGACAGCTCGCGCCAACCTACCATGATGCACAGCGCCCAAAAGATCCATCTCCAGCCAACATACTCTGCCAAGAAGCCGCCCGCCGCAGGCCCCAGGACTGGTCCGAGGAGCGGCGCGAGAGAGTATACCGACACCGCTCTGCCCCTCAGCGCTGGAGGTGCGACGTCCGCGATCGTGCCACCCCCGATGGACAGCGGGGCTGCACCGGCGCATCCGCTCAAGAAGCGGAATACCAGCAGAACCCCGAGATTTGGCGAGACGGCACAAGCGGCATTGCAGGCGAGAAAGAGCACGTTCGAGATGCTGTACGCTGGATATCGTCCGTAGAGCTCCGACATGGGCGCTGCTAGTCTATGCGTCGTTAGCAGATGCCGCGGAACCGGTGTTCGTGCACTTGTGGAATACACTTACACGGGACCGAACACGAAGCCCAGATTGAATATTGATACAACGAGCGATGATAGCACACCATCAGGCGCATTGAAGTCCTTCAAAATCTCTCGGACGGCAGGGGCGGGCATCGACGACGCGATCGCTCTGGGATGTGGTCAGGATAAGATATTTCCAAAGAACATAGTCGGATGCAATACTCACGCTTGTAGCGTCAAGATACTCACAAGCACAATCTGAATCCACCTCGACGCCATAGCCCAGTTCATCGGATTCTCCGGATCGTACGGCTTGTTCCAGTCCACTACGAACTTTTGTGACGCCGAGTTTCTCTTCTCTCCCCCCTTCACGCTAGAGGCATCGCTCGCCCATGTCGAAAAATACGGCGATCGTTGTGATTCGTCATCGTCGGGTATGCTGCTGAATGCAGCGCCCATGTAAAGGCTCAGCTCGTCGACGGGCCCTGGAGGCCCATTTGCACTTAATCTGAACCACGAGAACCCCGAGGTTCTTGCGGTCTGTGGCACATCGTCCCAAGAGGGGTCTGATTTTCTTTTTTCCACGGACACCGGAGGCGGGTATTGAGGCTGACTCTCGGCTGATATGATCGAACCGTGATCCTCTTCAACAGCCATTTGTCGCTGCTATCGCCTCGGGGCTGTGTCTCACGAGAACATCACAAAGCAAGTTGGACAAGTTCCCACGAGAGAATCAATGGTGGCGCTAGAGGAGCAAGTGTCGTGTGCATCGTGTGCAAATGGCGTGGAACTTGCAAATCTCAGCAGCACAGCGAGATTACAGTCTTTGTTTTCGGGCATAACCGCCCTTGCGTTTCAATACTAGCCCACTTGCCGCAGCCATACGGTCTTCTAATCAGTGTAAGGCAGACGGTTGCTATTCCTGAGAGCACTATGGTGTTGTAAGTGACGCGGCCCCCACTATATGAGGCACAGTCATCTGTTCCAAATAGATTCGATGGCAGCCTCTGTGGCTGAAGTCGGCATAGCTATCTGTAGTAATCGAATGCAATCGTGCGGGCATGACCGAAACTGGCTTAGACAGCTGTATTAACGACCAGCAGGCAGTCGCGGTTGGTGACACTAGGTGGCCCAAACTCCCTTACGACAATGCCGTTCAAACCGAGTCTGACAGGTTGGGAAACGGGAAGCCAGCGTGACATGAGGTTCTGGCCGCTGTTGGCGCGGTAGTAAACTTCAGGCCCCTGTTTCAAGTTGTTCGAGACTGAATCGCACATGGCCTTACCAATAGCATGGAAACTTCAACGTCAGCTGTCACTGCCAAGACAGAGCCAGGGTCCCTTCTCTCAACTCCGATCATAAAAGACCACATAAGTCTTGGTCTCCAAAATCGTTCACCCTGAGATGCAGATCGCATCATTGGTGGCATGGCAGCTCGGAGAATGGAAGTGCGCCATGATGCCATCCAATGTGAAAAGAAAACTCATGGCGATTATAAGCAGGAGAAAATCTTATGCCATGGCTTCCGACGTTGAAGTTGGCTTTGAAGCATTGACTTTGGCAAACGCATCTGGCCCTTGGTGAATTGAGTGTGCATATGGAGCGTTGACAGTGCGACTTCACTTCCAGATCCAGTCACATGCAACAGACCATTCAAGGTGGGTGATGTTGAATGGTCTTGTCTGATGAATTACACTTCTTGTCAAATAATTCTCCAAACGCCAGGCGTGGGCTTGTTGTGAGTGCCCAGTCTTGGCCTACGTAACACAAGTCTGGTAGGGAGCCGCAATGCATGTCAATAACTAAATGCTATCATCTCTTCCAGTTTGCAGTAATCATTCTACATTCGCTTCTAACAAGCAACTAATGAGAAATGAAGGAAAGGATCGTTGAGGAGGCTGAGATTCACGGCTGCCCTCCAAAACACCCAAAGCCTTGATCTCCTAGATTAAAGAAGGGATTGAGGAGAAGAGCTGAATAACGATTTGAGATGACTGGTACCTGCTAAAGGGTGCTGCTTCTTCTTCAGAATGATTTGGAGATCCTGCCTTTCCAACTGGTCGTGGTGCGCACCTGCCGCGCGCGTCGAGGCGATCTCCACGTTCTGGATTTTACCTCACTCGTATCGACTATAAAAAACATCCTCTTCTTCCTCGACCTCTCGCAATCTTTCTTTCTAGATAAAACGTGGACGTCGCAACTGAGCAGCCTATCCAAGATATTCCACCAGACAGAGCCGTGTTACTAAGATCGCGGAGCCGATCTTCCTGTTAGTCTAGCGATACACAAAGCAGGTAAGAACAAAGACGGACTTCAAAAAAGAAGAGAAAAAGAAGAAAAAGAAGAAAAAAAGAAAAACAAGAAAAAAAGATCAGCTAACCAGAGATAGGATCCCAGCCAAGTTTCTAGCAACAACATCGCTGCCATGGGAAACGCAGGCAAAAAGCGCCGCCGCGTTGCCGACGATGTCAAGCCCATCAAAGGCAAGAAGCCTCGTCTTGCCAAACCCCCCGCTGCTGCCAAATCCAACAAGAAGCTTAACACTCAACGAAGCGATTCGAAGGAGTCCTTAGAACCAAATGAGGACAAATGCACTTGCATTGTCGCTGAGTTAGCCAACGCTGGCCACAACACCACCACAACCACCACAGATCTCTCCCAGTATGCCTTCCAGCAGACGAATGATGGGGCCAACAGAACACGCACAGTCAACTCAACCGAGAAACCGAGGCAGGAGGAGGAGGAGGACGACGACGACGAAGTTACTGGAAAAGGCATCACCTTGTCGCAGATGTGGGAAATGACCTCAGCCATGCCAGCAAACCCTGTCGGAGTGTGACGAATCACCGAAGAAGAGCAGGGCCAGGTCATGGCCGAATACGTGCGCATACGGGAAACATTTCCGCCCAGGCTTCGAAATCGAGTCCGCAACGTATGGATGCTGAAGCTGCTCCGCGACGCGTTTGGCAAAGAAGCCACTAAGGGTCTGACGGCTTTATCGCAAAACATGGTGGCTAAGGATGCTGCCGCGAAGACGAAGAACGCTTCGAGGACAGACGCCGATGAAGGAGTGGAGGATCAGCATTCTGAGAAAGATGCTGAATTTGTTGTTGTAGAGCTGAAATGCTGTGATAGTTCCATGCAATTATGGCTGGCCTAACAAATGCCACTGCCCTAGCCATGATCTCAACTTGGCACACTGAAATGAGATATCCCTCGAAACGTCCTCCTGTCTGTCCAAATCCGAAAGTAAGGAACCGCCTGCGCCCGTGTATTTCATGCTTATGACCATATGCCATTCTTATTCTCCCCTAAACTGTGTCTGTTTTGGCCTTGTACCGCAAATAGTGGAGGCGGATATGAGAAATGTGCCGGACGATGAGTGTCAAGCATTGAATAAAGAATGCAGAAGAGAAAAGAGTTGCAAAAGAAGTAAAGTGAAAGAGTATTGGAAGTAGAGTAGAGCCCGTCAGGAAAAGGCTGGGGTGTTAGCAGAAAGATTCAAACACTGAACTACCTTACGGCTCCAGCCACTGAGAGGAACTAATGCCAATGGTGTGGTAGAAGTCCGCCATGGCTACATAGTGCAATGTACTTCGATCGGCCCATATTGGCGTCAGAGACTTGCGAGTTGGCAACACTCTCTGGCACGCCCTAGCTGGAAGCAGGCACGCATACTCTCAGGGACTTCCTAGCTGTATGTTTGCTTGGGCGTGGGCGCAAGTATAAGACCAGGATTAGCTACCGCGTAATTATCATGCTTGCCGTTCTGGTGTCGTCTTCGACGTCTTCGATGGTTGCACTCGGGGTTAAATGTTCACGATGCTGTCTTCGCCATCGTTGTCACTCAATCTCATGACGCCAGGACGGTCGATCATGGCCTCGATCTGGTCGTTCTATATCTCGGAATTGGCATTGATGCAGACGTTCATTATGGCTTAATATGCCAAGTCGCCTTGTCAAGGCGAGAGTTCGTTTCTAGGTTGGGGGTGTTCACAGATATTCGTCAACCTCGCGTCGGCGAGCAACCTTGTCACGGCGCACTTCGATCAAAGCGAGCTCTCATCTCTCATCCTGGCGGTAACTGATGATCCAATGTTATCCGTGAGAAAGGGCTACTGACGAATCTCGTTGTCGAGATTGGCAGACCCTTGGGCATGCGCGACGAAGTTGGTAGTGCTCTCAGCTAGGGTTAGATGCATGACAGCCAGATGGAACACGTCAAGACGGTGCTACATCAACAACTCTGCCGCCAAAGTCTCAGCTAATCCGTCATTGCGTTGTTTGGTAGCCTTCAAGGCGTGATTGAATTTTAAATAGAGAATGGTTGCCAGAGTAAGCGCCTGGGGAAGTAAGTGGAAAAATAAATGCCCTTACTAATGATTTTCCGTCATTATTCCGGTTCATGTCCCATTGTCAACGCTGATAGGAGCACGCACAAGTTTTCAGAAGATTGAGGTCATGACATCGTCGTCAGACTTCTGCTCCTGTTGATATGTGATCAGCACCGGAAACGTCCAGGAGGCGGACGACGAAGGCCGAAATGCTTTCTATGGGGTATGCAATTCACTTATTTGATGCTTAAGTGGGCTAATACTCTGGGAACACGACATTCGGTCGATCATCCATGGGTTGTTAGATGTCACATGAGCTGACACATGTGACAACATGACGAACCTGGCCAATCCGCGCGCCTGATAATCCACGCAGCTTTTCCTAGTCATCCCAGCGTCTCAGCGCGTCAGCTACAAAAGGAAACTCTACCTGTATTGCCACCGGTCCTTTCTAGGTAGGCTATAAAATGTACCAATCTACGTGGATAGCGGCTATTTACTTTAATCTCGAAGCTCATTACTGCCCAGCCAATTCAAAAAGGATTCTGACGTGGCCACTAACGGCTCATCAACAGAAGGCCCACATCAATCGAAACTTATGGATTTGCATCCTATCAGTAGGATTGCCGCTTACGGACTCCCTGATTTGACGATCCCTGTGTTAGTCTGCTTTAGTGGCCTTCCCTGTGTGACACAGTAAGATAATGCAACGGCGATCCCGAAGCTTGGGTTAGACGAGCATCCCGTTCTTTTGATGCCCGCGTTTCGTCAACCCGTTGCTACCTTACGTAGATAAAACTCGTCGTCGGTCTCTGACTCCTTCCCTTCTCGTTTTGTTACATTGACAACTGTTACAGTGAAGACTTCTGGGACTGTATCACCATGACCGAAGGTAACAAGGTTGCGATAGTCGGCCTAGGTGAGTTTTTTGTTGAAAGGCACAGGATGCCCTTAGGTCCTGGAGCATGCTGACAAACACAGGGGCGCTTGGTATCGTCGCCCTCAAGAACTGCCTAGAAGAGGGGTTCGAGGCGACGGGGTTTGACCGCATCCCTTATCCGGGGGGGCTCTGGACGTATACGCCAGAAGACCGGGTCTCTGCGCTCCCAAGTAACATAAACTGCTCTTTCTTTGACCGAAATGATATTGATTACGCGCGAAAGCAACCGTCGTAAACATATCAAAAGAAAGGGCGAGTCTGCTACCTGCCCACGTGACCAAATGATCATGCTGACGATTTGCACCAGGGATGCTTCACAGACTTTCCCTTCCCAGCAGGTGAGAAGACATAAGTCTTTCCATAATTATCCGTGGCCTAGACTCAGTGACGGTAGAAGTTCCAAGCCTTTGCTCCGCCGGCGATATGCAGAGGTACCTTGCCAGCTACGTGGAGCACTTCAACCTGCGCCCTTCGATGCGCCTCAGCACAAGCATCACTCGTGTGTACCATGATGAAAGCGCCAACAAATGGGTGATTGAGATAGATGGGCCCCCCCACGAGATGTTTGACAGAGTAATCATGGCGACGGGTCAGAATCATACGCCAAAATATCCTGACATTAAGGGAATTGAACTATTCCACGGCGAACAGCTTCACGCTAAGTCGTTCAAAAGGTAAGTTTGTGATGCCGACGACCCATTTCCAAGCTTGGAGTTGCCCGTACTGAAGTCTCTTTGAGCCCCGAGGGATTCAAGGGTAGGGATGTCTTGATCATCGGCCTGGGCAACAGCGGGGCAGACACAGCGGCATCTCTCGCCGGACACGCCAACAGCATCTATCTATCACATAGACATGGATGCCTAGTTGTAAGTTGCCCCTCGGTCCACACCCCAATTAGTCTAGTCTGACATCGTGGAGTTGCCCCGCGTAAAAGAGGGCAAACCCGTCGATCATACCATCAACGTCCGTTACGTCACCTGGCAGCGCGTCTTCGAGCGCTTCTTTCCCAGTCTAGTCGAGAAGCTTTTCAATAACTTCGGCAAGAGACTCCAGGACGAGGCTTTCAACATCCGGCCCGAATGGAAGCTGTCCCCCGCGCCCTCCCTCAAAAAGTACCTACCCCTCATCACGGACAATCTTATCGATTCCCTAGAGAGCGGCGCCGTCCTGTCCGTTGAAGGCGTCAGCGGGGTCGTTGGGCCCAACAAGGTCGAGCTCACCGACGGCAAAGTCATCAAGGTAGACACGATCATCTACTGCACTGGCTACATGTCCGACTTTAGTCTTCTGGACCCCAAGTATGACCCGACGCGCGAGACCACGCCAGATTGGGCCGCCGCCAGAGGTTCGAGGGGCAAGCCGCTGCCGAGGCTGTATCAAGGCGTCTTTTCGCTGAGCCATCCACATTCTCTGGCCTTCCAGGGTGCTGTGGCGCTCACTATGGGCCAGTTCCAGATAAATGACCTATCTTCGATGGCGGTGACGCAGGTGTGGAAGGGCAGGTCGGCCCTGCCCCCTCAGGAGGAGATGGAGCAAGCGGTCGATAAGCACCACGCCTGGATCGTAGAACTGGCTCAAGAGGGCAGCGTCCTGCCGCAGACGGTCAACCCGTACCAGTGGGCGGACTGGGCTGACCAGACGGCCGGCACAGGCGTGAATGAGTACCTGGGTTGGGGCTGGAAGGGGTGGAAGTTCTGGTTCCAGGAGCCCCGATTCTGCAGCGTTCTCATGGGCGGCGTCTACAGCCCTCACATCTACCGTGTTTTTGACGGCAAGAGGAAGAGGTGGGGTGGAGCAAGGACAGAGATTGAGAGGCTGTACAAGGTGGCGAACGAGAAGCCTAAGGTCAATTAGGCGAGAGGGGGCTTTGGCACCACCAAGACATACCGGTAGCTAGCAATATCACTGGATTTTACCGAAATTTTCTTTGAATTCATGCAAATTAAATTTCAAATTATTCGTTGGAATATTGTATTACGGAGCCCCCTAAGGAGCCAGCTTGTAGGCGCAACAGGTTTCCCTTGAGACTAGCAACCAACATGTGAAAGCTGGGTGTGCTTCACTGTCAGAAGTGAGACGTGAGGAATGCGACGTTGTCTTGGAATTAATGCAACTCTTACCTCCTCGTCGCTCTTGGCCATCTTGTGTGGTAGGCGTTGGACCTGATTCATGGATGAATTGAAACCGTACCTCAAGAGGATCGAAAGTTTCGAGCTAATCTGCGGGCGTGCTCTTGACTTTCTGAGCACATAATCATTGTACATGTTGATTCACGTTGTATATGAGTTGCGAGGTTCTTTTATAGTAAAACTGCGTTGCATACTTCGTGGCCTATCTCTGGCGCAGCGTTTTCTCAGACTGACTATGAATGCCAAAAGGCTATCCGGCGAATTCATGGTATGCTTGTAGGCTCCCACTTAGTCGGGTTGTGCTTTTAAATTGACTCAAACACCATACCTGCGTAACATATCGCTGTTCGATGGATGATGTATTCTATGTGAACCGTGAGACGACCAATCACCTTCAAATGGCCCCCAAGATGGGCTGCAGTACATCGTCTTGGCTTTCAGAATCTGGAATTCAACTTGTTAATCAACGTTGGGCCATGTATAGATTACTTGACCATGAGTGAAGGATGCCCTCAAAACCCAAAGGCTACTGGCTTTCTGCGACTGTCGTTACTCCAATCTTTGTACGAAATGGTATAATTATCGCTCTCCCGTATGTGTGTAGTGTTCTGAACTTTGTAAGAAGCAAAGAGAACTTCAATTTTAGCAGGCACGTCGATCACCACAAAGATGGGACGGCGATCTGCCACGACGAAGTTCAAACGCAGAAGTTCTAACCAACGCTATCGCGTTAACCGCTGGAAATCTGCGCGAGACGTACTGCGGAATTTGGGAACCCGGTCCTGTACGTAGGTATGGGAACGAGAGCCACGACTCAGCCCTTGCAGATGATACTGCATCATGCTGGGTGCAGTGGATGCATGTGTTCGGGCGCCACTCGACAATTAAGGCAGTCCACGCGAATACATCCCTGCTTATTTCCGACTATCTCATGATCGACTGGTGCTTGAATGTGCTTAAAATTGCTTGAATGGCGGGGTTGACAGCACCCCGGCAGCTTGTGGTGGCAGTCCGCGATACGGCCCCAGTTTCGGTGGCGGGACGGACAACTCCTGGGAAATATTACTGGGGGAAACCTGCGGGGCCGGGACCCGGACCGGGGCGCCCATTGTTGGAGAATTTCTCCGTCCACATGGTCGTTCTTGGCACTATCAATCAGATAATGTGACCTCGTTCCAACTGCCATGGTTGATTTCCGATTAGATCTTGGCATCTTACTTCCAATGCAGGGACAGAAAACAAAACAAGTTCAGTTGGCGGTGACTAGGCCTCAGAGTAGGATCGTTGCCCAACGCCTGCCTCTTTCATGGCCATCCCTTTGGCATCTTTATCTTTCCAACCAGCTTACCTACCAAATCACGGCAGTTCATTGAGTAAAAAAATTCATCTCATTGGGCCGCCTGTCCATCATTTTGATTATTGTTCACCAGCGTAGGATCCGGAAAACTGCAAACCATTTCTCACGAGTTTCTCACAGCTGCGTTCCTTCAAGTTTAGTCCACCAATGATCGACGCACGAAACATCAGCTTGGTTTCATGGTCGGAAACTGTTTAGCGATCAAGTCTGCTGCGCTCATCTATATAACGGCTCCATAAGATTCGCTTCTGTTGGGTCGTAACTCATCACCACGGACTTTGCTTTCAATTCGACCTGCCTTCTGCATCAAACTTCAAAGACATACAAGAGCAATCATGTACTTCTCAAAGGCAGGTGTCGTGGCTCTGCTGGCGGCTTTGCCGTCCACTCTGGCTTGTCTCGGCTACGAGGGTGGTCTTCCCACTCCTACTAGCACCAAGACCAACAGCAAAGTCATCGAGGTGGCAGCTGGTGCCACATTTGATGGTGGCTGGGCTAAGTATGACCGTGGCTCGGGTGCCTGCAACGAACAGGCCGAAGGAGGTGAGAAAGTCCCCGTACAGCCACAAATAGCGTGTCTCACAGATGTCTTCAGGTGACGCCGACGCCGTATTTCTGCTCCGCAAAGGTGCAAAGTTGAAGAACGTCATCATTGGGAAGAACCAGGCTGAAGGTGTGCACTGTGACGGACCCTGCACTCTCGAGTTCGTCTGGTTCGAGGACGTCTGCGAAGACGCCATCACTATCGTAAGTACCACTCACACGTTTTATTTATTTGATAAGAATGAAGCGACCTCTAACACCCAATGCAGAAAAATGATAAGGCAGGTGAAGAAACCTGGATCATCGGTGGTGGCGCCTACAAGGCATCCGACAAGATTGTCCAACACAACGGCTGTGGAACTGTGAACGTAAGTTCTTGGGGACTCTTATGACCTTTCTTTTGGCGCTAAAATATATGGTAGATCATCAACTTCTACGCCAACACATATGGCAAGTTGTACCGCTCTTGCGGAAACGTAAGTCAACACCATGGATCCGATCAACACCACAACACGAACTCACGATATATCTTTGAATGAACAGTGCAGCAGTCAGTGTAAAAGAAACGTTTATATCGAGTGAAACTCCCCATTATCCCTTGGAAAGATCATAAAAAGTCTAACAACTAGCAGGGGAACCACCGCGTACAACGGTGGCGAGTTGGCAGGTATCAACTCGAACTACGGCGACACCGCCACCCTCAAGAACGTCTGCACGGACGCAAAGGTCAAGTGTCAGATGTACAACGGCTGTGCCGGTGGCTGCGAGCCCACCAAGTCGGGTGTTTGCTCTGGCTAACAGTTGGTGGTGCTGTTCAACATCATACGCCCCTTCCCATCAGCAAAACCAAACCCGGCCCTTCCTTCCTGGGAAAGAAGTGGGAACACGGCCTTGCCTCCTTCCTTTCATATTGCAGACTGTCCTGTGAGCACTTTGTTTCTTGTACATACAGATCTCAAGACAATCGCCCTCACCCGGCGATCAGTGACGTATATAGCCTTTTCCCAAGAATGATGATGATCGTCTTTATCCATCTTGATTTGCAGCGAAAAAATAATCTCATGCCCATCAGAAGTATTGATGCGGCTCAGTACAGATAGAGTTTGAAAACCATTGGGTGGATTTTCGCATGCCGCCGGTCGGTTCACACACAGTATGAATCCGAACTTCGAGGTCATGTGCTACTTAGTAACGTCCACGTGAGAAGCCACTTTCCATTCATAAAAGCCCAGTTTCAACGTTGGAAAATGCCGTCACTCAATGGCAGTGACAAATATTGACATGTATGGCTCAGATTTTGCTTTCTTACATGTCGACGCAATGACCAACCGCATCTACCTTGAGGGCGCGAAATCCACCGGAGATATCACGGTCTCCCCGAAATCAGGATATTAATAACACAGACTGACATGGTTTTTAAAAGTGAAAGCTTTCTCTTCGTCATCGGAATTTTCCCATGCCCGACTTCACAAATCCCACTGAGTCGCGAAACACGTAAACGAGTTGATACTGCTGCAATGATGCGCAACGAAGAATCGAGACCGTCCCAAAGCCGCGCTTCAACGCTTTTCAGTCGCCTCAAGGCAAAGCTCACTTGCAACACTAAGAGACCGAGCATCAACCCCGATGGAGAAAATGACATGTTGGCTGCCGGAAGTCAAGTCGAGAAGCAAAGTAAAAGCGATTCGGACTTAACCAAAACTCTTGAGAGCGACGAGCAAACTTCGCAAGTGCAGCAAGTCAACACCGAGAGAAGAGTTCGTCGCAGAAATATATTCACCAAGTCCAAGTTCAAAAGCATAGTACCGAACGACCACAACAACGACAACGAGAGCGAAGAGAAGAATAACTCTGAGCGAAGCAATTCTGAACTCGACAATCGAAGGAAGAAAGAGAAGGCGAAGATAAGGACGAGGACAGTGTCACCCACAAGATACTCCGACAGTGGCTCCAACTACCATTCTGACGCCATCAACGCAGCTATACTTGCCTCTATCACTGGAATCCCACACCACGGTCCTTACAACTTTGGCAACATGTTTAGTGGCGGTGATGACGGTGGATTTGGAGGTGGTTGCGATACTGGGGGCGGCGGCTGTGATTCTGGTGGGTGGGATGGTGGTGGTGGTGGTGGATGTGATTAATCGGGTCCTGTCTGCGGATGTTTAATTTTTCACAAAATATAATGTAAATACCGAATTTCGAAGACTGCACTTATCTGCATATTGAAGACTGATCTTTGCTCTAAAAATCGAAAGATAAAAACACCATGCGCATCAACCCCCAGACAGAACAAAGGGTGATATAGCGTGTGGTTTTCTAACCACCAGTCTTAGATTATGAGGACTCAACTACGTGTCAACCCTTGTCCCCCTGATTCGCACCGACCGTTATAACATGAGGCCTTCTACGTATTGGAGCAGTCGATTGGGTGATCGGAATACAGCCCACCCCCTCAATGTAGCTTCCCATGTCCGCCAGGACTCAGCTCCAACCTTAGTGATTACTTATAGACAGAATCATCTCATTATCTCATGAATATGTGGGTAGGACTCGAGACGCGAATCGGGCACCTTATACTATGGCAAACACAATTCCGTTGCAATAATAGGAAATGGCTTAGAGGCCAGTCGCATACATAATTTTGGATAGGTTACTTAAACAAAAAGTTGAAATTTATGGAATTGCAAGCAGCAGGCACTCTGTTGCTGGGAGGAACGCTGTCATGGAGCACTATGGGCGAAGCCTCTGATGCACCATCTGTATTCTCTTTTCCGTTCCAAATTCCAATAGCTACAACGAGGTCCGATTTAAGACCTACGCATGAATGACACTGGCTGTGCGGCAATATCAGCGAAGCACGTCGAGGAGCAAGCTCCATTGGATGTTTACATGATGACAATCTTTTCACATGTGAGGAAACAGACACACCCATCACCCAAAGAAATGGCTAGGGTGAAAACAAGGTTCAGCGAGGTTGAAATCGGGTTCGGACGACTTGCGGGGCAGCAGCCTCCTGACGGTGAGGTTTCGCGCGACTTGATTCGAGCGCGTACTGAGTTTGCCTCGGCACATCATTTCTGCGATGTCACGAATGAACCGGCGCAAAATCATCCAATAATAACAACCCACTTTCAACTTCCAGTACCAGACATCCCGCCGGTAAAATACGACGCACTATCGCTTTATTGCCCAACCCATGGCTACACGTGAGCAGAGGTAGGCCACACCGTTGACAGTCTCCGCATCGAACGCGACACTAGCTTGGCCAATTTCAACATTGCGATCATGCCAGATCTGTAGCCAAGCTTCGCATCGGTTCTTGCACGACGTAACGCCGAATATACCGAGCCGCTCGTATCTCCACGCCTCGTTGCGACGATGTATCATGAAGAATCGAACATTATCGCAGACTGTCCATGAATGACAAGAGCCAATGCCCTAAAGCTCGATGATATTGGGTTGCAGATGGCCTCTGTTGTTCGTTGTCTGACTCGGGCGCGTACCTCCTAGCCTGTCAACCGGCTGCGACTTCCCCGCAGTCCAGGTCTCAACAGCCGGGATGCTCGTCATCACGAGCGGTCCTTGGAGACTGTGGGGTAGCAAAGTGCGGAGAATCAGGGGTGTTCGGGGTAGCTTGAATGACACGGCAAGCTCCCGTTCGCTCTCGGTGTAACGGTTACCACGACGCTTTACCTCTACTGATGCGCTTGGTCCCTGATGGCCACTTGCGAATGACATGTTCCTGGCTTGAAGCTTGCGTCTCGACAAGAGGAAATGATCATCCATTGGATCGTGGAGGGGCATACCCCCCCAGCCTGGTGCTACCCAAGACGGCCGGTCGAGTTCTCGGGCAGAAATATTGATGTTTACCAGCCATGTGGTTGATCAACATCCCGCGACGGCGTAAGTCGGGGCCGAACGACTGTATATAAAGAGACTAAGGTCCATTTGCCTACTCAATACTGAGTGATGTGCTAAGCGTCTTTCTGAAATACACAGAGCGCTCCACACCATGCCATCTTTTCGCCTCTGGCTTTCCTCGGCACTCGCCTTCGCGGCGATTGTGAGGGGTCAAGATGCCACAGCACAGGTTGAGGCAGCTCTCGCGGCCCTTACTGTTACCAACGTCGACGACGTTCGTGGTAACCTGTACCTGCCAACTGCCATCAACGGCATCAACATTACATGGGCGAGCAACGCGTCTTCAATCATCTCGGATGACGGCGTTGTGAAAAGGCAAACTGAAGATGCTCAAGTCGCTCTCACCGCCACGATCGAATATGACGGCGTGAGTCAACAGAAGGATTTTGTTGCATCTGTCCGCAAAGCCGTTGTGCTTGACCCCTTTGAGGGATACGCCTTCTCTTATTTCACTGGAAGTACAACTGCCGGAGAGAATATTTTCTTCGCTGCTAGCCAGGGCAATGATGCCTTGGACTGGACGGAGCTGAACGGCGGCCAACCCACCTTGACTTCATCCTACGGCACAAAAGGTCTTCGGGATCCGTTCCTCATTAGATCACATGAAGGCGACACCTTTTATCTGATCGCGACTGATTTGTCGATTGGTTCCGGTACATCCTGGGGCGACTCCGTCAGGATTGGGAGCCGATACCTCGAAGTTTGGGAGTCAAATGATCTCATCAACTGGTCTGCCCAGCGTCATGTCCTGGTTTCCCCTCCCGAAGCAGGAAACACCTGGGCTCCGGAGGCTTACTATGACGAGGATCTTGGGGCATACTTGGTTTTCTGGGCTTCGTCTCTGTACGAAGACAGCGACGTAAACCGCACTGGTAGCACCTACCACCGCATGCTCTACGCAACAACTCGAGATTTCGTCACCTTCAGCGATACGCAGGTTTGGCAAGACGCCGGTATGTCGCGCATCGACTCGACTGTCATCAAGTCCGATGGCACTTATTACCGTTTCACCAAGGATGAGGGTGCGAGCGGCACCGGGTGCAGCGATATCATCCAAGAAAGCTCAGCATCCCTCCGTGCTACCCTGGAGTCATGGACCATCATCGATTCTTGCATCGGCAAGAAAGCCGGAACCAGCGCCGTCGAGGGACCGACCTCTTTCAAGTCCAACCCAGGCGATGTGCACGGCGAGAAGTTCTACCTCTTCGTTGATGAATACGGCGGCCGGGGTTACATTCCCCTGGAGACTGCTGACATCGGCAATCCCGATTGGACTGTATCGAGCTCTTACAATCTCCCTTCAAGCCCGCGTCATGGCACCGTTATTCCAGTCACTGCAGGCGAACTTGCTGCACTGACAGGAACAACAACAACTCGTCGAGATGTCAGCGCAGATGGAGAAATCCTTCGCTATGACTTCTCCTCGGTTGACGGTACCACAGTTCAGGATGTTTCGGGTAATGGCAATAACGCAGTCATCGATGGCGGAGCGACCATCACCGACGGCGCTCTGACGTTCGACGGCGTTGATGACTATGTCAAGTTGCCTGACAACATCATCGCTGGTGTCACAAACATCGCAATTGAGGCAAAGGTTCTCGTCGACGCTTCTCAGCAGACGCCATACTTTATCTACGGTCTTGGGAACACGGTGTCTGGTTCTGGAAACGGCTATCTCTTTTCCACCGGAAGCCCATACAGGGCATCGATCACCACCGGCAACTGGACGGGTGAGAAGACGTCTTCCTCTGGATCTCAGCTCCCTTCAGGAACTTGGCTACATTTGGTCTTTACTCAGCAAGGCCGTACTACAGTTATTTACCTCAATGGCTACGAGGTTGCGAGAAATGAGGATGTCAACATCAATCCAAGCAACATTAGTAACGGCGTCACGACTGCAAACTACATTGGCCGGTCGCTTTACGACAGTGACAAGCCTTTCAAGGGCCAGGTTAAGGAATTTGCCATCTTCAACAGGTCTTTGAGCGCAGCTGAAGTTCTTTCCCGCTCAGGAAACGTCGGTGCCATCACTGAGGTTGCCCTTGCCGACAGCACTGCCCAAAAGGTCCCCCCCATCATCAACACCACCGACAACAAGGTCTTATTCCCCGTTTACCCGGGCACTGACCTTACCAAGCTGGCTCCGGTTTTCACGACTACGGAAGGAGTGACTTCTTCCCCCGCGTCCGGCACACCTGTCGACCTTACTTCCGAGGTCAAGTACGTCTTGACCAAAGGCGATGAGGTCGTGGGTAAGTGGGAGATCAAGGCGGTTGAGATGGGAAGTCCTGTTCTCCCGGGTTTGTATGCCGACCCGAACATCGCCGTATTCAACGGAGAATACTATCTCTACGTGACTACCGATGGTGTTCCTGGTTGGGGTGGGAACAAGTTCTACGTCTGGAAGTCGAGTGATCTTGTCACCTGGACCCGAAGCGAAGACCCCTTCCTCGTTCTCGACGGAGCTAACGGCAACGTTCCTTGGGCCAATGGCAATGCCTGGGCCCCAACAATTGCCGAACGCGACGGAAAGTATTACTTCTACTTCAGTGGAAACAATATCGCCTTGAACACGAAGACCATCGGCGTTGCTGTGGCTGACTCGCCCGAGGGCCCATTCACTGCTGAGCCGGAAGCAATGATTCTCAACAACGAAGCTATCACTGCTTCTCAAGCGATCGACCCAGCTGCTTTCCAGGACCCTGTCTCTGGCAAGTACTATATCTATTGGGGCAACGGCCGTCCTCTTGTGGCCGAGCTCAATGATGACATGGTGTCGGTCAACTGGGATACACTGCAAGCCATGACGGGGCTGGTGGACTTCAGAGAGGGCTTGTTTGTCGTTTACCGCCAAGGCCTCTACCACCTTACCTATTCCATTGACGACACGGGATCTGAAAACTATCGTGTGGGATACGCCACATCTGAAAACTTCTCTGGTCCTTGGCAATACCAGGGTGTTATTCTGCAAAAAGATACCTCCCAGGGCATCCTTGGCACCGGCCACAACTCCATGTTCAACGTTCCTGGTACTGACGATTGGTACATTGCATACCATCGCTTCCAGATTCCTGGCGGTGGCGGCTACATGCGCGAGACCACTATTGACCGCGTTTACTTCGACGAGAACACCGGTCTCATCAAACCTGTTGTGCCGACACTCACCAGTGTTGAGCCGCAGACTGTCCCGCAAAAGATTCGTAGACGGTCAAGGATTATGCGTTTGTAAGATTCTCTGATGGAATCAATTTGAAATATATATGGAAGATATGATCGATAAATGCAAATTTTCACATGTTTAAAACGATTCTTCATGTATATGTTGAAAAGCTATTTGAATTGAAGATGCCTTTTTTTCTGTCACGCGGGGAGCAAATGATGATAACAGAAGCCCATTGCAGGTGGATTCGTGTCCCTACATATTTAATTGATGTATGCCGATGGGCTGCAGCTTGGCGTGTTTGACGCGTAGATGTATTCAGTGCCGGCACACCCTCCGGGACATCCCACACCGCAGGGGAATCCAACGGTGGTGGTTGGAACTGCGGTCGGACAGCCACACAAGTTGTAGATGGTTGACATTCCCAAGCACAGGGGTCGGATACAGGTGCTACAGACTGATGTTGTCTTGGTTACTGTAGGGCAGATCGTCGGGAGAGGAGGGTTGGTTGGGATGACTTCGGTAAGCGTGACCCCGCCACAATCCGGCTTCGCAGTTTCGAAGATGTGTATGGTCAGTTGGCAGTCCGTTGGAAGTGGTCCATCGCAGGGGAAGTTAACTGTTGATGTTGGAACAACAGTTGGACAGTCGCAGCGACTAGAGATGGTTGAGAGTCGGGCACAGGCCTTCACGGGAAATGTGGGACAGATGAAACCGGTGGTTGTGATAGTTGGACAGGGAAGACCGTCCAACGCCTGTGCGAGAGTGAAGCTCGAGAAAGTTAGTTGAAGATCTGATGAAGGGAATCCTACATCTTACAAAGTTGTGAGCAAGAAGATGGTACTCTTGAGAGTAGCCATGGCGAAAAGTCAGCGTGGGCACGATAGATGAGGTTATGCGCTGAGTTGTTGACAATATCATAGAGAAAATGGCATTCTCGGTATCAAGATCCCAGGTTAATGTGAACTTATACTTGGATTATTTCGTTGTCTTTAGCCATGAACGTATGTGTTCTACCATGCATTTGGGGTGGGTTGATGTCTCGCATCATGTCCCTGCATTTGACCCTTTGGCGAACACATCAGCCGCCACAAAACTGTTTTCTTAACAAGTTTCACCAGATTACACGTCAGGTCAACGATGATTTGACAACTTAAGCGATTTTTGAACTCAAGCTGCTTCGCCAATATCACTAGGCGGAATTGGACCGCCGTCGGTGCCGCAAACGGATACGAGTTTAAGACGCCCGTGATGCTCGCCATCGGTTGCAGCATCCCGCAACGCTTGTGCTGATGATCATGCCCCGCTTTCTTTCGTGCTCACTCATTGTACTCGAAAAGTGATCGCCGTTCGTTACCCCACAAACCTTTTCCTTAGCCGCAGATCGGAGCGAAAGGTAGACATAAAAATAGCTCGCGACTCATCTCGCTACGCCATCTAGCTACGCCGCTACGACAGAGACAAGTAGATGAAACTATTTTATTGGAAATGTCACGTAAAATGAAGGTAAGAAACAAATCTAGTCGTAGGACAACCAGTTATATCTAATGCCAGCGCTCCAGTTTCCAAAGGCTGCGCGGCTTTGGTACATTTAAATTGAATAATACACCATAGAAAAGTCCCATTGCCTGCTAGCCTCGCCATTCACTCATTGCCATCAGCACTGACGCTTCCACGGTATCAAGATCGCTTGCTGTCCAAGAAAATCATCATACTTCCGCTTGCAGTGGTATTCAGCTGGCTTCCTCTTGGCATCTAAGGCGTTCATGGCCTGAGACTCTCGGCATTCCATCCCGAGACAAATAAGCTTCGGTGACATGGTTGGCTTCTTGACATATTCAGAAACAAAAATTGATTCGGCCGCTGAATCGCTCCGCCTTGTAAGGACTGGAAATCGTGAGGAGGCGAGGAGGTAGGTGCAAGCTACGTTCCGGCTCGTACTCGTGCACAGAGTCCGCCGTAGGCCTTTGAAGTTTAGGGTGCGCGTTCTCGCATTTTACGAGATTCTGCCTCTTTCGCAAACCCCGCCCCCCGCCCCCTTCATGTGAGCTAAGTCACACACAAGATCCTTGCGGTTCGTTTCTCGAGTGAGGTCCATCAGTTCAGCCATTCTTTGCCCGTGCCCCTCAGCAGATCAGACGAAGGTCGAATAATCACCACTGGTAGTAGGAGCGAATAATGACTCGTGTGCACGAGGAGGTCGAAGAAAAGGCTTAGTCGACCTCGAGGCTTGAGAAGTGCCCGACACTGCACTGCTAGATCGGGCCGCATCAGACGTGGTCGACCATGTCTACTTGCTCAATAATACTTTGGCTAATTGGCGAATGATACGACCCCGGACGGTCTGGTCTTGTGAACGGCACCAGTCGGCGGGCCCTGCGGCGATAAGATACGATGTTATAGGCCGTGCCCAGTTTGATATATATTGCCCAGTGCCGACCGTCCGGCTGCTTACCCGGAGAAAATGGCAGAGATGATGGTCAACGCATAAGGAAAGGGATAGATGGTGAAATCCATCAGGAGTCGGTTGCGAACTAATTTGACGGCGACGTCGCAGAGGCCCAGCGTCTCCCTCGTCTCGCGACATTTCTTTTTGAGCTAAGGCTGCATCGAATCTGGACTACTCCGTGTCTGCAGCCAGCATTCAATGGATCAGGGCTGAAAAGAAGAAAGCACACTAGCTGTCAATCCCCGCACATGATGCAACAAAATCTCCTACCTACGTTCGACGGAGAATTACTCCCAAGTTGACGGGTGAGTTAAGAAATTCTTTCTGGGGAAGCCGAGCCACATTTCCTGTCTGAAGAGCACGTAAGCCTGGAGCCGGCTCCGGGCCGTCACATCCGTCGGCGGCGGCCGGAGTGGAGCCGGAGATGGGGGCGGATTCCAATCTATCGCAGCATGCCGCCACTAGTTCCGTCATATCCGGGGCCGACGCTAGATTTAGAGTTAACAATTGCCTTCTGGTCAATTCTCAGCAGCCGATATTGGCGAACCCCTATTCCGCGCAAAACACAGCCTCACGATGGTGAGGCAGAAGAAAGAAAGAAAAGGCTTGTCGTTATGGCGAGCTTGGCGCACACGCACACTCTTTGGGTTGATGCGCTGCTCAGCCCAAGGAATATCCATTAACAAACTGTAGTTATGCTAGTGCGGGCCTCGTTCGTCACAGCATGTCGAGTCGGGCTTTGCTGTTTCATTCCGCTCATATGACAAATTTGCCCCAGTCCGCTGGCCTGAATGGTCGGTGCGCCCGCGGCCTCTCGGTCTCGAAGCGAAGGCCGATGTTTGGATGATGAGAGAGAGCGTTCGGTCGGGTTGAACGGCTCAAGACACGGGCGCACCTGAACACACACTCGCACACTCATTCATCCACTTCCACACACAAAAGGGGCATGCTTTCAGATTGCAGCTCGTAGGTATGGCCTTACGAATGATCCGAAAAGAAAGCCCGAGAGTGCAAAAATAGGAGACGGAGGGCCTGAGGGAGCCCGCGAAAGCGCTTTGATGTCACCCAGCGAAACAGTCTGCACACGAATCTAGCCCCAACGCGGACACCCAAACTTACGAGCCCAGGTCTCGACAACGTCCGACGGGTGCCCACGTTGCCAACGGCAAGTGGAATTTCTCTGGAAAATCCCCCTTCCAGCAGCTCTGCAGGGTAGAGTTCCAAGACCCCTGTGCCGTCTCAGCCTGCCAGTTGATTCGCCATAGTTTTGGATATACGGCATAATCCTTGCCTCTCGTCCGCGAAGCTGGGCCTTTCTGTCTGACATTTCGCCCCAATGCACCCAGATCCGCGACAGGGGTCCCGTGTTGAGACTCCAACCCCCTTCTCCACACAGGTGATACTGGTGCCCAGATGCACGCGGGCATTGGTTCGTGCTCGACTTCGGATGCAACTGATGCTCGTGGAATTAAGATGGCATGCGAATCACTATATAGTTCAGATCAATGAACCCGTTCCCAACCGTGTTTGGACCCCTCCACCTCTACCGGCTTCTGCTTCATTCTTTGCTTTGTCCCAAGGTTTCACCCCTGGTAACCAGCAGTTCGGTGTCGACATCTACATTCACTTCTGCAATTTGAATCTTTCGAATTTCTCGATTCCATTTCTCTGCAAAAACGACACTCTTTTGCACGCGCCAAGTTTGAGAATTCGGTTCATCCAACAAACACACATCTGACGTTGAGAGAAACAACATGCGATTTTCCATCGTGGTCCTTGCCTTGTCGGGCAGTGCATCGGCTCTGGTATGCTTATTAGTCTTCAGTGACAATTACAGAATTATCTATTGACGAATCTTTCCAAACAGCCTGCTCTAAGTGGCCTAGCGGCTCATCAGCCCACCGAACTTGTCGACCGAAGCACTGGCGCCGAACCCGCCTCAGTGGCAGATGATTTGAGCCGTCGTGGCTTCAAGGCGGAGGTCGTGTCCGCCGACGATACGAACGCGAAGAAGAGGGACTTGGAGGTTGTGACGAGGCAAACGAAGACAGGAAGTGCGGCGGCAAGCAAGACCAGCACCGGGCCGCACGCGGAGGCAATTGGTGACAATAAGGTCAACCCGACGACGGGTTTGACGGACTCTGAGGCCGCAGAGATCGTGACCGGACTCGATCTCAAAGACAAGAAGGCTCCGGGGTCTCTCAACGCCAAAGGCCAGCGGAATCCGCTGCCGGGTCTGAGCGCGGACGAGACGGATGCTATCGTGAAGCAGGGGCAGGCAGCTCTCAAGGAAGCTGGCGCATGATAGGCAAGGTTCCCGTGCGAAAACAATAAAAACACAATGCTATCGCTGGAGGCATCACAAATATCTTCTCATCACAGACTCGCGACGTAGATCAGTCAAGGACATTACTGCTTCTGTGATGCTGCAAGCGGTCTTACTGACTAAAACACTCGAGGACTAAGGATTAGAGGCGACCAGGAAGGCACATCAACACGAGCTGTAACAAGCGATAAGTGTTTAGGAAAACTTGTTGCCCAAGGGATGGGATTACAAGCTCTGTTGACTCTATTGCGCTCGACTTGGTCTTGCTCTGCTGGTCCGTCTCAATTCGTTGCAGAGAAACAGCTTGTATCGCTGCGATGACTAGTCGAATGTTTACCGAGAGTCTACGGCTTTCGCACGAGTCACTCGTTGCCCGCGCAGAAGAACGGGGCGCTGATGTCACCTTGAAGAGAGTCATTCAGCTGCTTAGAACTCTGTTTATTAAGTTTTCCTCGGTGATGCCGGCCCCACTCACTGCCATCGGTGCGGAAGTCTCCCGGGATAGAAGCCGCGGTAAGTGGGCCCAGGCCGAATTCGGTTGCCGACAGGAGGGCCAAGATGCCCGGAGCACGTCGAGTTCCAGATAAAGAGCACATCAAACTCAGCGAGATCGAATGAACCCTGGGCCTTTGCGGGAGCTCGGTTGTTGACTTCGACTTGACATCGAATTGACGGATCTACAGACTGCCGAATCCTCAATTGAAAGGCCCCTGTTTTGTCCAGATGTTCATTCCCAATTTCTGTCCGCGAACGATGGGCAGGCCTGCATGCAAAACCCGATCATCACCCCCGCCATCGCTGAGCAAATTTGTCCAAAACACGGCATTGCCCTCCACGGGTCGAAACGTGACGCCCGCATCCCATGGCTCATTGCAGTCGACGTATCTACACCAGCCTTTCCCCGGCGGCGATTGAAGCCGAGGGAAATTCGTTCCTCCGCCAGCAATATCGTTGCTGACACCCACGTACGTAAAGAAACTGCTCACGCGGTTGCCTCCCTTCACCACGGAGCCGTGCTCGCCCGAGTCGACTTGGAACCAGTCCGTATGAAAATGGTATTGCTCCCCAAGACCGTACTTGACCAACTGAATCGGCTCTAGATGAGTAGCTGACGTATGGAGACCTTGGAACTGTCGTGCCCTCTCTAGAATGCATTGTGTAACAGCATCAGGCACAACGGTTGTTGATTGCGAGGTCCGGTGGGATGAAACCACATCCCCTCCATTTGAGGCGACGTTCGAGCGAGCGAATGTCCCGTTTCTAATCATCATTAGCAACGTTGTTTTTGCGGTGCGCATTTTTTTTGTTTCCATCTGTGATAGCCAAAGTCCTTACGTGATTTTCTTGAGATGCTCTCGCTCAAAAGGCGTCACGAAATTGGTGATGTAGATGACTAAAGGAGCGTGTGAAAACAGGTTGACCTCGTATCCTGAATGATCACAAACATAGTCCCTGAGATCGTCGTTTTCGCTGCGTCGGCAAACTGCAATTGCAGCAGCATACAATGTGCCGAACCAGGCCAACCGCATCCTAATGTGCACTTGACGGTTGGGGTCTTAAATCAGTGATTAGGCTCCCAAAGAACGCCTCAATGCGAGAAGAGCATCAGGAAATGGCAAAGTTCAAGAACGCTGTTGTTGATGATGGACGTTGATGATGTTGGAGAATCCAGCGAAATTTTGTCAGAGTGCTGGTGCCCAAGACAGCTCTCGGAGATGTTCTCCGCATCGTCCCTGAATGATCACGGAGCTGATCATGTCAGTCAGGGATTTTCCAAATCGAGTATCAATAGGTGTCCTGCATGTTACATCGCGTTACCACTCAATTTAGCCGCATGGTGTCGACCACATGTTGCTACCTTCGAGGTCACATGCCATTAAATCCTAGGCCACGATCGCCCGTGGCGCTGGTATTTACAAGGACGTCTTCTGTCAAGACGCTTCGGGACACCCTCTACGATCCCCGAATTGAAGGTGAACCTGGCCACACTCCTTCTTCTCAGTCCGCTCTTATCATTACACGCCTCCCTTTCTGGTTTGATGCACTTTCGTTGTTTTCAAAATTGAGATGCGAAGAGGAAGCTCAGGCCTTCCATTATTATGTTTCACGTGGCCTTCTTCATTATAGGCAGTCTCCTGCTTGCACAAGTGCAGGCATGGAGACACGCAAGCAAGTCGGAGCTTGATGAGGCTCTCAGGATACGTGAGCATACTTTGGTAGCCTGTGAGTCTGGGCAGCCTTCTTACGCTTACTCGACGAAATGATACATCTGCTGATGGATAATACTGTAATACCGTAGTCGTCGATGTAAGTGGTGCTCTAATTTCTAAGTGGTATTAAGCTGATAGAGTTCTCTTGTTTCAGCCGGACAGGTAATACCAACTTGAATATCTATCCGTGCAAGGCGAATGATTAACTCAAACGTTATAGTTGGAGTGGCCAGCTACTTGCTACCGAATGGGAAACTATAACCTACTCCGACAAATCGGCCATGAGCATTAATTGCGCCGTCAACTGGAGCATTTGTGAAGAACACGACGTGCGGTCTTATCCCGCTATCAGACTTTACCGTTCTCCAAAGACGTTTGAATATTACAGAGGCCCGAGGCAAGCTAAAGAGTGGGTCAGAATTCCCAGCAAGACGGCTTGTTGATAACTTACCCTCGTACCAGTATCTCCGCCTTTGTCAGTCGCAGTCTACGCCCCGTCATCTCCAGCCTGGGTCTGGAAAATGTCACTGACTTTGCTTACACCGATTCTGTGGTTTTCATCCTTCGCCTTACAGACCGAGACGCAGGAAAAGGTCTCTACAAAAGATTTCATGATCTGGCCTCTGATAACGCACATAGATACTCGTTTGGCGTCATTTCAAGGGACCCCGAAGATGGCTCATCATCACTCGACTGTTTCAATAATTTGGATGATGTTACACTGTCGACAACAGACTTTGTCAGCCACATCTTTTCATTAGATGAATTTCTTACGTCCTGTGCAACTCAACTGGTTACGGAGATGACACACCGGAACAAAGCTGATTTCATAGAGGTGGGCTATCTCCCGTCGAGCATCATCTTGAAAGGAATGCGATTTTGATCGTGTCTCTACAGAGCGAGGTCAACGTCCTCTATTTCTTTGATTTCAACCTAGATCGTCGTGAGCAATTCGCTTTTCACATCAAGGAGACCGCCAGAAAATACGCTCAGCATCTCAGATTCGTTACGGTCGACCCGCCAGCATTTCCTGATGTGCCATCACGAATGGGGTTGAAGTGGAAGTTTCCCGCCATCGCAGTCCAGAACAAGACTGCCGGGCTCACGTACCACTCGGAGCAAAGCGAGTCCATTACACCTGGGTTTGTGGAGAACTTTCTTCGGTCTGTAGCCGGTGGGAAGGTTCAGCCAGCGTCTCAAAAACACGTTGACGCTGAACCAACGGACGGCGCAGAAGCTATTCCGGTAGAGAAAGGAGATTACCGCCAGAGAGTCATGCACGACGAGCTTTAACTCTGCACGTGGCAATAAGGCAGGTGTCTACCAAGAATGCATCATAGGCTCGGGGAAGGTATTCAGTATGCAAGTACTAGGGTACTTCGCTTAGATTATACTCTGTTGAATCTGCTCTACTCTAAAGTCTAAACCATCATGGTATTCTCCTGGATCTGTTATTCGAGGATTTGCAAAGTTGCCGAGGCCATCGTCATTTGCCATGATGTGAGCTAGAAAATACCGAGCCCCGTGCCGGGTTTCGATTGCACCCACTTCTGCCGTAGTGCTGACTTCCACTCGTCTAGCTTCTGCACCTGCCCATTCACGAAAATCTCTCCGGCTTGGAGGTCCTTCGGCAACGGCGGCACAATCAACCATTCATGGCTCGGCTTGCACGGAGACGTGTGTCCAGGTGTGAAATTCTGGCTTTTGACAATAGCCAGGCATGGTAAGCAGAACTTGGAGTCGATGCAGTACCAGCACACTGCGAACTTGTCGGAAGGCGCAAACAGCTTGAGGCAATGATCGCAAGAGAAATCGCTGCTCTCAGTGAAAATCTTTGTCAGTGTGATCTGTTTCGTGTGTCTCCGTGGAGACAGACCACCAATTTTGGGTGAACTTGAGCGTCTTTCGCCGATCAAGTGGCTAGCGAGAGCTGTTGCTGCCGGGGGTGTTCTCGCAGACTGCCAGAGTGCCTGCGCGTTTGTCGTGTCACCTGCCGCGATCAGGGTTCGCTGCAGGTTGGCGATACTGATCTCGTCGTTCTGCGGCTCGTCGTCTTCCAATAGACCCAAGGTTTCAGACACCAACTTCGACAGCAGTCTTCGCGACTCTTTTTCTTGTTTGTGGAGGCGATAAAGGAGAACCAGGTAGATTGAAGCTTCGTTGAAGTCGAAGCCAGCCATGTGGAGCGGCACATTTCTATTTTGGTACTTGCGCTGCTGTTCCATAAGTTCTTCGAGTTTGACGATCCAGGGATTGACTGCATCAGATCGCAGTGTCTCATCCGCCTCGAGGGCTTTCAATAAGTATGCTCTTGCAAGTTGTTTAAAAGATGCAATATACTCGATACGCACAGCCAAGCTGCCTCTGGCTTTGTAGTCGTGAAAGCAAATACTCTCCTGAATTCCAATGGCATTATCGTACTGCTGCGCCGCCATGTAAACATTTCCGAGGGAGTTTCGGAGATAGAACGCCTTGCGAGAGTCTTGCGCATCGTGTGCAGACTGGATGGCGCAAGCGTAGCGCTCTGCAAGAACCTCCGTTTTGTCTGTCCGAGCTGCGGCTTGAGGAAACCAATCCCTTATCGACGGGTCCGGAATTTGGCTCAGAAGAAACAAGACAAATCGTGAATTTCCCCTTTCCGTGTAACGACCGTCCAGCTCGTCAAAAAGGCCAATCATCTCCGTGACGCGGTTGTTCTCGGCGAGGACCCTCATATAGGCAGCCTCCGGTTCAAATTCAGGAGTATCGTAAGCGTTTCGGATGGCTTTTCGGCAATACGCAATGGCGCTCTCCACACGACCCATGCGGTTGTAGCACTCTGCAATCTGAGCTTGGTTCTTGTAGAGCCTCCATTTGCTGTTCTTGATTTCATGGTCAGTTTTGTAGTAGCCTTTGGCCATGTGGTCCTGTTCTACGACTTCGCACATGAGATGAAGCTTGAGTGCCTTTTCAAAATTGCCGCTCATTGCGTGGCAAAGTCCCATGCGACCACAACTCTCCACGATGTTGCTATCAATGTTGAGTGCGTTTTCGAAGTACTCCAGCGCCTTTTTGTGTTCCCCGAGATTGAGCAGCGTACTGCCGATTCTTCGATACCAATGCCCAGTCTTGGGGTGGTTGGCCCAATCGGTGGCTCTTTGGATTCTTTCTTCGATCTTAACATCCTGCCAGTGCAGTTCGGAGTATGACCATGGCTTACCCTCCTCGAGCAGAGGCAAGGACTGCACCACACCGAAACAGAACAGGGTTGGCATGTACATCCCGAAGCCTTCGACAACCCATGCTTTGGAGAAAATTCCACCCATGGGCTCCAGCAGCCGCGCAGGATATGACGACGCAGCAGTTGCCCATGCTCTCTGTTCGACGCTGAGCCCGCTGAGGACGTCAGGGTCTTTTAGCCACTTGGAGACCACCTCAATGTTCTTGTCTGTCCAGATATCCAGCGCCTCCTCAAAGAGATTGGTCCACGTCAGGAGCACAGTGGGATCCGTGAGCATGGTGTAAAGGCGCTGTCCGATGTCTGCCTTCTCAGCCACTGAGATATCGGAACGTTTGACGTCTTCGAGATGTTCTGGCCAGTACCACGCAGCGTATCGTTGCAGAGAGAGACCTTCGTGGCCTAGTGTGAAATATGTCGGGTCGGTGAAGATACGCAGGCAAGTTTTCAGGACGTGAAGTCTGGCGTCGGCCAGCTTAAAGCCAATGGAGGGAGATTTGGCGTCTGCTCTCAGATCCGTCGAGGTGTCATCCCTGAAGAATTCTTTGACGGACATGTGGAAGAATGTTACGTATGTAGTGCTTTTGTTTGAAAAGTACTCAATGTCCCTGTCAACGTCCAAGAAGTCCGGGCTTGTCCTTGGGCTCGTTTTCTTCGCGGTGTCTAGGTCAATAAGAGAAAGTCGGCGATGAAGTTCATGTCGGTCGGCAAGATCCGCAGTCGATAAGCCATCCTCGCGCTCGAGCGTGAAGAAACATGAGAACTGTCCTCTCAAAGACTCTTCGAGGCGAAATGGTGCATCGCCCATTTTGAGAGTAAGGACGGCCTCGATTTGTTCCAGTGTGAGACCCATCTCAGCCACCGAAACCCAACGTAAAATCTCGTTCAGATCGTCCGCCTCTTCTTGGGTGATGCTTGCGCTGAATCCCAAGACAGCCTTCTTAAGCATACCGTTGATTTCTTTCGGGTACGACTGCAGACTCTCAATGATCCTTCTGGGATGCCGTATGCGGCTGAGCTCTGCTAACATGAACTTGGCCAAGATGAATAAGCCATCGACCTGCTTAACCATTGCCTCGATAATACTCTCTTTGAAATCCTCGGTGGACCCTCGGAGAATCCGCGCAGAATTCACGCCTTCGACGATGTAAGATACAATATCTGAGCTGTTTTTGTCGGGTGTAACGTGTATCGTTCGGAGTTGCTGACCCCCAGTAGAGTCGTTCCCGATGTAGTCGTTTATGTCGTCCGAGAGGCTTGGTCGTCCAATCAGTGCGACTTGGACCCGTGTAAATTCCGCGGATTGCTGATTAAGGTCATCCAATAGCGACAGAAATTCGGTGACTTCGCGAGGTTCGGCCTCGTCCAGGCCGTCTATGAGTACATATATGTGTCTTTTCCACCTGTCGGGCACGCATGGTTCGACAAGCAGTTTCCTGAATGCACTCGAAACGGTCTTGATCTCGTCGCTGGTAGCTACTTCGCGGATGAGCTGCTTGCCGTAAAAAACGTCCTGTTCACTGATTTGGTACGCCATGTCTCTCAAGGCCTGTGTCATGGAGCGAGACTCTGGGTTGTTCTGCTTGAAGAAGAAGTACCCCATCATGCTGGTGGTATCTTGGTTATTGAGAAGCTCTTGGCCCCACGAAACAAGACGAGACGTCAAATACGACTTTCCGGTCCCTGGGTTTCCTGCAACCCAGAGGAAACGAATATCACCTGCCAGCCAAGCCTTCAAGGAGGGATCCTCCAAGATCCAGTCGCAGGTACCCGGCGTCCTTGTCCTGTTCAGGGCCGAGAGAGAGTCTTCTGGGTATACTGAGGGCTGCAGGATGCCCTTGAGTTTATCTCTGTTGGAGGAGAGCGCCTGCTCCCTCGTCTGGGGCACGCGTGTTTCAGCACGAAGGGTCTGGACGTTAACATCGACCCTTGACATCATTTCAAGCAGGCGATCTTGGTTGGACAGCGACCGCTTTACGCCGGCGCTGGTCTCTGCAATAACGAGTCGCTCCTCACCCTCGGTGAGTGCTGCCAGCTTTTTCATACCCTCAGGCACCTTGCTCTCCTTCCCAAACAGTCTCTTGAAATAGGACTTGAAACGGCCATTCCGCACCTCGTGCGCCGCGATGACGAATATTTCGAAGATGGTGACGAGGATCTTGACGATTTTATCGTGAAGCTCGTTGGACATTTTTTGTGACACGTAGGACTTGAGTCGGATGGTGAAGTCCTGCATCTGGTCGAACAGGTCGATGATGGAGTCGTAGCATGCCGAGACGTCCTTGGCGGCGTTCACGAGGTACATGACGGCAGCGAAGATGGTCTGGCCAGGTGGGAAAATCTCTTCGGATGCGCCAGCCAGGGCTTCGCCGACGACTTCAAGGGGCTTGCATGCAGCGGACAAGCATTGGAACAAGGTCTGGCGCTTCTCGCGAAAGCTCGTAAACTGTTCATTCTGGCGGTTGACGACGTTGAGAAGGTCTTCGGTGGTTCTCATGGGCGGGCTCATGTAGTCCTTGAGATCGAGACCGGTGGAGTCGGCATATTGTTTTTGGGCATCAGCGAGGATCCTCGCAAACTGTCGGTGGATGCTGTCGGAGCGCAGGAGCTGTGCCTTCTCATCCATGACGGTGTCTGTGGTCCCCGCGCAAGATTGGCGGGGTTGGTTTGTGGGGATGCGGGATCGTCAGACTGAGCAAAAGTCGACAAACGAAGTGGTGAGCGCGGTGTAAGGTATGTAGTCTGCGCAAGGCCGGGATGAGTCTTTGAATATTATATATATATCAGACGGGTAAGCTTGGTGAGCGGGAGGAGCGCGGGAAGGGCCGCAGCAGCACGGCCGATGAGACAAAACCAACTTGCGCCAGGCAGGGCAGGGCAGGCTGTGAGATGGGCGCGACGCGTTGGTGGTGGATTGATCCAGCTTGAGGCAGCTTCGGCAACCAGAGTGTTTGAGTGCGGCCAAGACCAAAGCAAGTCAGGCGAGGCAAGGCGGTAACTGCGGCGCCCGAAAAATCGTAATACGCGTGACAGCCCTGCCGTCAGCTTGTCAGCTCATTGGGTCCAGGAACATTCAGGTAGCACGCTGAGCAGCAAGTGAGTGCGAATGAGGCGTGGTCGCTGCTTTAGCTCTGCGCAGCGCCGGCGCGACGTATGCAAAGTCAGCAACGTGGGATTCGACATGGGCCTCAAGCGAAACGAGACGAGACAGGCGGGGTGGCCACTTGACACGTCGTAGCATCGCAAGTGGTCGGTGTGGTTGGTGGGCGTTGGAGAGTCATGATGGACTGTGGATGGCTTCTGCGCTTGAGTGGACGGGGTTGAAAGAGGGGCAGCGAGGGGCAGCGAGGGGCAGGCAACAGGCAACCGCCATTTGCACCCATTTCCGGCAGTCAGTCAGGATTGATTCAGAGGGCCTCTCGTCTCGCACATTAGCCACATCGGGAAATCTATCTAGGCATGCAGCGTGGCTGTGGACGGCAAGGCGCCTAAGTATTTGATTGATATCCAGTCTGTTGTAGACACTCAAACATTCTTTGCCACGTAGTGTGGATTGCCCAGACAAATGAAGAGGCAGCCAGAAAGGAGAATCAAAATCCGAGATGAGCGAAGAAACACTGGTCATGTTCTAGAATGGCGGGGTGAAGGAAGGGAACGGAACCGAGACAAAGCCAAACCACACCAGGCCAACGGGATGCTGACATAATCAACCCAACCATGTAAGGTATCGAAGTTGGATCTCGATGTCGTCCGTCGTCTTCTGCCACAAGACAAGCGGGACCGTCCAACTGTCGTCCCAACAGCATGGGTGACGGACCATACAGGGACCAATTCCAGATGGAATTCGCCCAATTCACCTCAACTCTCCATTCAGGAATACACAAAACCTTGTTGTCGATGCATGAAACCTGTACCGGCCGCCATCGAGATCCCAGATGCAGCCAATCACAGGCCGAGGATCTGGACCCTGATCGCTCATCATGACCTCACTGCTCGCAAGCTGCCTTTTGACATCGGCCTCCTCCTCGTTCCATGCCGAATATCTCGCAAAGTTATTTCTCTTCCCCTTTCTGCATTTAAACAGCCCGACTTCTACACCTCCGCCTTTTCTCTCAAGAATCCGCTTCTTACAGCCCCCGCGCCCAATGAGTTTGTTCCTAGCAAGTCCCTGTTGCACATTGAAACATCCAGTATTAGAGCCACACACACACACACACGTACATCCATACATATAAACATACAGGCACGGATAATCCACCGATGTCAACTGTACAAGACGAACCAATGTCAGATGCAAAACTTGAGCTTTTACCCCTCCATCTTGGTAAGCTTACTTGTGTCTTTGCGTCACTTGTCAGCACTCAGTAATGAGACCCGTAGTGGTGACTTGTCTAACTCGTAGTACAGTCTTGCATCCAAGTCCCCTGCAACATTTTCTTGTGCCCCTTCCCACATGCAGGGCAAACTCGTAGACCTGTTCGCCTGCTGGCACTCTCGAAATACCCATTCTTCAAGCCTTGGGGCTACCTCTCAGCTCAACCTTGGGCATGAGTCCATATCAGGCTCCTACATCGTGCATCTAGAATGCAACGTCGAAAGCTTGGAGACTGGGGAGAGGATGTACCCCACTACGATCATGGAAAGCAACATGACTTTTGCCATCGATTCGCCTACTCCCAGCCGATGGCCTCAAATAAACCGAATATTTGGGGTTGCCCGATCCCTCGAGCATCTGCGCGTCCCGTTTTGCACTTTGAATGACAGCCGATGCAGTATGGCCACTGCACCGCTCTCGTCTACATAATTACTTGGTAATCCACCGAGAACTGGACTGATTGGCTATGCCTAACTCTGCTGCTGTCGAACCGCATTTCGCTATCGCTTGGCTTTGGGGCACGCCTACTCGCGATTGAAGCCATAGCTAACTTGTGCTAGGATTCAAAAGGATTGAAATCAAGTTTTCATCCCGAGGACCCATCATTCATTCGGATTCCGTCCAACGAGAAATTAGAAGCTCAAATTGAACACATCGGACCAAATATTAGAAGCCCCAGGCTCTGATTTTGCTGGGCCTCTTGCTCCTTAGAGGGCGCTTGATAAATCAATAAGCGCCAACAGACAAAAAGCAAGCTCTCCACCATCATGGTTGGCCATGTTTGCAGCAACTTAACGGTTTCAATATTCGAGCGTTTTAAATTACACCAAGGTAGGCAAGAAACCATTAGTCCCATCGGCGAAGACTACTGGGAGATAAACAAGGAAGAAAATTAAGCCCACGGTAAATTCGAAAGAAAAACGTCGACCGCACACGCAGAGACAAAGAAGAGACATAATCTGGAATGCTAAGCCTGAGTAGGTGGTGAAGCGGAGCGATACCGCCAATGCAAGTCATCTCCATACCAGGCCCCGGTGGAAACTCGAGGGCACGGGAGAGGAACACAGTGTGAGCGTTTTCCGAGGAACCAGTCAGGCCGCCACACGCATGAGAAATTGTTACGCAGGTACACGTACTCACATGCCCCCCCGGCCGGCACCAACACATTGTCTTTCCCCTCCACCACTCTCCCAAGACCTGGTGTGCTCAGTGCTCAGAAAAAAGAGTACCTTAGTGTGTGTTGTCTCTCTCTCTCGGTCTGCAGTCTGCAAAACGTTCATGTTCTTTCCCCGGGCCACGGCGAGTGTTTTCTTCTCTCTTACTTCACATAAAAGTTAGTATCGACATCGGTTTGCGGCTTATTATGAAGTCATTCTCATCCACCGTTGTCGCCTCATTTCTCTCCCTCCCCGATCGTTCCGCCAGCTCCTCTGCCAACTCTTCACGTCCTTGAGAGGCACCCTTGCCACAACTGAGCAACCCATGCAACCGGAACGCAAATACAGGAGTATTCTTCCAGGTCCTCCAGCCAACACCTCCTCGAGATCCCTCAACGACGATAATGGGGACGCTACTTCTTCCACAAGCGGAGGTATCGGCGGCCAGGAGGGGTCCAAAAGGAAGCGCCGAGGGACCGCCAAGGCGTGCAACAACTGTCGGGAGAAGAAGATAGGGGTATGTAGCTCACATATATCCCGTTGTTCATGCCACGTTCGCTCGTGGTAAGGCTGCGAGCTCCTAGTGTTCAAAGCTCGTCATTCACGCCAACCCCGGGTGTCGGTGTTCAGGGGGACTGCATAGCAGCAAGCCGACTTGGAATACTCAATAATCACTTGCAACCTGTCTCGACGTCGTCCGAAACCTCGCTAACATACTGACTGTATTCATAGTGCAATGGTTTACATCCATGTAGCCACTGTCAGCGCCGCGGTCTGACTTGCGAGTACGTCGCCATCTCCAAGACCATTCTCAATTCCATCCCTCAGGGAATGAAGCTGCTGGATGAAGCAACAGCGAAGACCCAAAGATACGCGGCGGAACTCCTCGCTATCCTTCGTTCTCCCCCCGACGACCAGGTTCGCGACGTTCTCCAGCAGTTGCGCGCTGGCGGGGATGCCTCGAACATCGTCGCCGCCCTCCGTGGGCAGCTCCATTCGGCCTACGATGTCCCCTTTCACGGTACCCTCCATGGAGTCCCGCCGCCCGACCAGAATTCGCTCGAGTTCGAGCTGATGGTGCGTCACTCCATCGCCTACTCACCTTGGGCTCCGACGGAACTCCCGCAGCTAGACTTCGAGCTCTCTGCGAGGCCTGGCCAGAGCATTGCGGTGGAGTCCCCTTCGGCGGCGTGAGTAAACATTCCTCCCACCCGTTGACAGTGTGCGAACGCCACACCGTCGCCTAGATGACTGCCTCCGAGAAGGATATCGAGCATCACTGTCGTTGAGCGCTAACCCGAAGACAGAGTCTCGCCCGTGTCAGCGGACACTCCTTCGCCCATGCCGCCAACAGAGTCAGAATCTTCCTTTTCCAGCAGCCGAACCAGGTTCCAGCAAGAACCACGAGAAAGCAGCAGCTCGAGTCTCAGTCTCAGTGTTCCAGGCAGAGTCAGCAGCCGAGAAGCAGGGCCAGCGGATTTTCAAACCCTCTGCGACGAAAGGCTACACAAAGTTGACATATCGGTGTGGACGAATGTTTCTGTTGCCCCTGACTCCGCACGGAGGGCTCTGTCTTTGTATCTTGAGACCGACCACACCTTCACAGCCTTGTTCGATGTTGACCTGCTTCTCGACAGCCTAGTCTCTGGCAACACGCGCTTCTGCTCCAGATTGCTCTTTAGTTCGCTTCTTAGCTGGGCTTGTGTATATTACTACAACACCCGAAAGAAATGGACGGAACGTGCTGACATACTGGCAGCAATCATACACCGCATTTGACTCCGAGGCAGCCGCCTGGAGTTACGCGTTGTATGAAGAGGCGGCACAGCTTTTGGAGCAGGATCGTAACCTTGGACTGCTCACTCCAGTCACTGTCGCAGCACTGCTCTATATGAGCATGTCTTCCATGTGCCACGCAAAGAGTACTACAGACGCCACGAGACACCTTGAAAGCGCAATCGAGCTAGCCAGAAGTATCGGGCTGTTTGGGGTTGCTGCTGAGGAAGCAAACGAGGAGGACTGGTCGGGTGCTACGGCAGATGTGCTTTGGAATCAAGCCATGGCGCAAACCGCTTGGGGCAGTTTCGTTTACATCACGTATGTTGGGCACCCCATGGAAGCCGTTTTCAAATCATGCGACGGTGTTCCTGAGAATTCTGGCGGCTCGAGGAGGTTAACATTTTGAAGGATACAATGCGCCCACAACCAAAGTTGCAAAATTGCATTTCCACCGCGAGTACCGATCCCAGGAGACGTGGGTGAAAGCGAAGGGATGCGCAAATCGGAGGAGCAGGGTTATTCAGCCTACATGAGACGGACTTTTCTGTTTCTTTGCAAGCTAGTGCTAATAGCCCACGACATGATCTGGATGAATTACGCCGGTAACAGTCTAAATAAATCGCCATATTCCAGAGCGGAAGAGATGGAACTCGTCTACAAGCGCTATCTGGCGTGGGCAGATGGTCTGCCTCTGGACTTGGCACGCGCTGGCGAGAGCCAGCACCATGTTCTCCTTTTGCAGTAGGTGTTTTTTTCCCCAATTCCCCGGAAAGAAAGAGGACTGGGTGGTGGAAATGGCAAGCTGATCAAAATGTTTGCAGCGTCTACTTCCACACATTCGTGCTGGATTTGTTTCGACCCTTGATCCGACACGGCGACGCGATGCGAGTCAAACTCGAATCGTTTACTTCGCAACAGGCTTCGCCCGAGGCCATCTGCGCTGCCTCGGCCACTCAACTGAGAAGGATAGCCGCGACTTACTTGCAGACGTGCGCGTCGGCGTCTTACAGTTTCAGCTGGAACACGGCGCTGCTATATGTGGCCAACGCGGCCTTCCGAGAGCCGAAACAGGGAATCGACGGCTCCGAGCGGCGCTCCGATGTTCGTACGTGTATTATCGGCTACCAGAAGCTGCAGAAATGTTTCCGGCTTCCGCAAGCGATCATTCGGGGGCTATTATCCATGGTGTTGCGAGAGGGATTGATCACATCGGCTGAGGCACGCGCAATTATCAAGGATTCGGAAGAGAAAGGGAAGCATCACCCAACGTCTGACCCGATACTGGCACCTTTCGTCATTGATCTAGATCTTTGTTTGGTGGATCGGGAAGCGGCGCTCGCCGATCGATTGGCAGCCGAGTTCGACGAGATTGCGATATTAAACGAATTCACCATGGTAACGGAGACGCGGGAGGCGCTGGACGTAGGGAGCGAGACCGTCACCTTCGATGTGGACGGTTGAGTCAGGAGAGCTACGGCGACGTCGAAAGGTATGGCCTGGTCAAAAAGCGAATATGAGTTCAACAACGGCATTGGGAGCGCTGGCGTCACGCGCGGGATATTCAAATTCTTTCAGGAAGAAGTTCGGTTCAGGCACGGGCGGAGTTCGAGGACAGCAAAACGAAATCGGCCGGGGGGGGAGGGGGGGGGGGAGGCGGGATAGACGGTGATTTATCGAAAAGAGAGCCGGAAATACCCCATGATGAGGACGACCATGATGTGCAAACGAAGCTCATGACGGACTGTGAGAAAGTATCGATAATGGCAATCATATTCATGGCTAGCGGTGGGCTTTGAAGAGGGATTCGATGTTGTGCAATTGTGAATGCGACTTGCGAGCGCCAACGGTTTACCTCCCCGGCACCGGCTAACGCCCAGGTCGAATCTCGGTCTCTGCGACCAATCCAGCCAGCTACCAGACCAATATTCCAGATATCGTGTTTCGCTCGGATGTTTCTGTTCGTATCGTTCGTTACGGCTGGTCAAAGTCGGGGGTATGATTTGCCTCGGCGAGGAATCTAGCCTGGATTGTCAAGACCGCGGCGATGGAGGCATCGCTTCACATCACGCTGAACAGGAGGACACAAATCTATTAGGGCCAGAAGCTCGGTTCACTTGGAGAACGGACTGGGGGGCGGGCGGTTGATACGGGGAGTCGAGGGTGCCAGCAATTGGTAGCGATCGAGATCCCATCTGCTACGACAGGATCGGTAACGTCATGGCCCGCAACTTATGCAGTCATGTTCTGGGCAGCTTCTGAGATCTGTGTGCGGCGTAGTATTCGACAGACCAAATGGGTTTTGACAGCTGAGAAGACGGCATGGAGAAGCTTGGGGGCGGGATGGAACGACATTATAGGTATCTAAGCGAAGTCGGGCGGCCTGAACCGAGGCTCGTGTGCCGCTGGAATAGCATAAAGATAGGAATGAGGAGGATGGCACAGTAAATGACTTGATACCTTGGGAGATAACCATGGCCATCCAGGACAGCTCGAGCACGCCGCACAAGATTGAATTGCTCTTGTTTGGTCACCTCATAGTTTGCAGAGACCATGTTCACGGCGGCCATACATCATCATGACCACCTCCCGTCAAGCTTCACAGGGGGTCTGAGCTAGGCAAGGGTTCTGGAATGGTGTGTTGGTGGTGGTGGTGGTGGTGGTGCATGTAGCTGGTATCTGTAAGTAGCTGTCTATCAACCCTAAAGCCTAGATCACCCCCGTGAGAGACGCTCCCGCCCATAACATCGGCTGCTCACCCAATCCCATGGCACCATATGGACAGTGAGGCGTGTCATTATTCGACACGGTGTCCGTCGGGGCCTTACAAAGTGAGTGATGCCCGACGACGAACGCTGAACGCAGTCAACGCAATAACAAAGTGACAGGGTAAGCCAGGGGGCGGAGTTTTTTTTTCATTCGAGGGCCATCTCTGATTGGCGGAGCTGTTTCCGGATAGCCTTAATTGGCTGGAGGGGCCTCCGGTCGATTTACAACGTCTCATTGGAAGCTCTGACGCTCTCGACTCTTGTGGGTTTGGTCACTTAGTCGTCCTAATGTTGCCTGGCCGGAGAATGTTCCGGGGCACAGAGACATCTGATTGGGGTCCCTCGATTAGTGTGGCAGGCTAAGAAGGATCTGTATATCGGCCGCGGTTTGACTCGAAGGTAGCCAGTGTCGGAACCGACAGACATTCCTACTGTCTGCCTGCTTAGTTTCGTCTCTGTGTTCCCAAAGCTTCTTCCACATGTGACCCGGGTTGATCCTGCCATCGCCTCCGGAGTGGACTCCGATGTGCCCGATGCCAGCTCATCCCATTGGCAAATGATGTATTTAGCATTCGACGTTGATTTTCAGGGTCCTAAAGAGGGGGGCCACATGGAACTGCTCTACACCATGACGGCGTCCGCCTACAGTTTCCTTCTGAGCTCCAAGGACCCTGCAGATTCATGCCCCCCGCCCACCATCTGGTCGCTGCCATAACTATCTTTGGGCATCTGACGCCATGTTCATAGCCTTCAAAACAGCCACACGGCCTGCTATCAGCTCCCAGCGTCTCCGACCGTAAGTTGGTCGTTCGATTCCTCCATTATGCTTTGCGGTGCGCCGAGCGCCCAAACGCAATTCCGGGGGGTTCTCCAGGGTCGAATCGGTCGTTGGCCAATCCATCGACGGAACATCTCATCGATCAAGATCGGCCATTGGTGCGCGCGGTCCCATATACAGTAAGTGAAGCAAGCTACCTTTTCCCAGCGCCGTAAGTCAGTCCACGCCCCACTCGTCTCTGGCGACGACTCAGGGGGTGTTGTTCAAGATTTGACATCTCCGGTTCCCCTGGGAGCATCTCCGGTCAAGCTACCATTAAACCTCGATGGTGGCATCACTGATTACATATAATTGACAGCTGATTGCAAACCCCTTGTGAACTCAGCGACTAGAACGCGCTGTTCCGCTTCGATCGAAAGAATCCGCTCAACGCCCCCATCAGCTGCGGCAGTCCCTTTTCGTGGCTGTCGTTGTTCATCCCTCCACGAATCCAGCCCGGAAGCTTCCCTCGAATTCTATCTGTCCCGTACCTCCGGTCGACCAGAACGATGGCTGCGTAGTCGCCCTGGTGCCTGATAGCCCGCCCGATACTCTGGTTTACCGCGCGCATGCAAGCATTCTCGTAAAAGTCTCTCGCCGCCTGCTTCGCCGCCACGATCGCTTCCTCTTTTGGTATTCGCGTAGCCGCCGACGCATCGGTCAGACGCTGGACAGTCGTAGTCTCGATGTACTCCGTCTTTGCTTTCCACTCGGGAGAATTGATGTTTGGGTAAGGCAACCCGATAATGATAACGCAACGGCCGAGGCGGTCGGAAAAGTTGATGCCCTCGCTCATCTTGCCGCCGACTACGCTCAGGAGTATCGCACCACGAGGCTTGGGTGCTGTGCCTGCGCCAGGTTCGCCGTCGCCTAGGATGGCCTTGCTGTAGGCCTCCAGAACCTCGTCGCTCGAGCCGCCCCGAGTCTCCTTGAACGCCTCCTTTCTCTCTCGCATGCGGTCCCAGATTGGCTTGGACTCGCCGGGACTTTTGGTCTCCCAAACCGCCACAACTTCGTCGAGGTAGCCGTAGCTTGGGAAGAAGACGACGACACCATCGGGAACTACGTTGCAGATGTTGAGAATCGCCAGGCCCAGCTGGCTCACCATCGCCTTGTCGCTTCGACGCTGGAAGCTGAACTCGAACGTGGAGCTGACGTCCCTGTTAGGGCCCGGTTTCGCGCCTGCGAGCGTCCAAACGCAGAGGTTCGACGGCGGGATGACGTGGCCGCAGCTGAGCGTCGTGAGTTTCGAATCCGATAAGTATGGGAAGAGGTGGTCCTTGTAGTCTTCAAAGGGGGACATGGTACCACCGGCCAGAATGACTGCCCTGGCACTCGTGGCGATGGACGAGAATGCATGGGTGGGCGACAGTAGCAGATAAGAAAGTTGTATGTCTGGCGGGTTAGATGACGTCTTTTCGTAGAATATGCGGCCCTCTGAGCTGAGGTTCGTGAGAGAAATCAGGAAGGATGACAAGATATGCAGAACCGGGGTGGACGATCTCGGTGGTGCCTTGCCAGCATTGGCCTGGGCGATCTCCTCCTCGACGTGGGCGACATAGCTCTCAATTTTGTAGGCGAGCTTGGACTCCTGGATGTACTGGATGAGCTTAAAGAGATTGATTTGGTCCACGCCCTTGCATCGAAGGAGCACCTTAGAGTCAACTATGCCGTGGGGTGTCTACGAGCTGGTCAGTAATTTCCAAGTCCTGAGAATGAAGAAGGTATACCTTGAGCGTCAAGGCCCCACTCATCCACTCGGTGAGGCCCTCGATGACTCTGCCAACCTGGCCGACCATGACACGGTTTTCTCCCTTCAATTTCTTGCCGAATCTTTTGACGTACACGCCAAGCATCTGTCGCGCCCGTCTCAGCTCTGTTAGTTTGATTTCCGACGCATATACGTTGGCTACTGCATCCATGATGTTGTGCGCCTCATCAATAATCACTACATTGCCCTCCAGCTTGATGCCCAGGGCGTCTCGGGCGTTCTTTTGCAGAAGGAGCGGATACGGCAAGGTAATGATCTCAGCCCCTGCGATAGCCGCCCTTGAGGCATAATACGGACATACTTCAAGCTTTTTGCCAAGATGATAGAGGTCTTCTATGTCGGGAAGGGTGGCGTGGGCTGTGTCTCGAAACTGGTGAGTCTGCTTGATGTTGTCTTCGTTCAGTGTATAAGGACATTTATCCTTGGTTTTAGGCTTCTGCAGTTCTGAGCATCGGTCATTGATGGCAGATATTGTGCCCAGCTTCGCCACGGATGGGTTGATGCACAGTTTCTGCCGGGATGAAAGGGGTAGATGCTTGACTGGCTCCTTGTCCGGCCGGGCATCTTCACTATCGTTGGGCTTGACCGATGGTGGCATAGATGATGGAAAGGCGGGGCGTCGAAGTTCATGGATGAATTGCGTGAGTTGAGAATGCGTTCTTGACGTGTAGTATATCTGACCAACATGTTACCGACTAGCCCACCAGCGACAGGGGGCTTGCGCACCTTGACTCCGTCTTCGACCTTGTCCTCCTCTTGCTCCGCCTTCAGGTTGCCCAGCCCGAATCTAGAAAGGATGTCCTTGGTCTCTTTGCTCAGTCCAGACATGGCATCGCCGTCGTCTGCGGCACCGGACTCATCGGCCTCATCCAACAGCCATTCATCGTCTGCGTCGGCATCGTTGCGAGCCTTCGACTTCGAAGGGCCCTCGTCAAATCGACGTCGCTTGGCGCTGCGAATTTCGAGGACCTTTTCTTTCAGGCGGATTTGCTCCAACCTTTTCTCTCGTTCTTCCCAATTGCGAGCCAGCTCGTCCCTCTTGCGCCGGAGCATTTGCTCCACGATCCAATCGGGCTCATCCCTAAAGTCGTCCATGTTGACCTTGAGAGAAGCCTCATGCTCCTCAATACGCTGGTTTCGCAGCCATGTCAGAGATGCACAGATGAGCGAAAGAGATTTACCCTGGACTGCGTGTCAGTGACGACCAGGGACTTGGGTGACAAGCATCATAACTGACAGTTCCCGTGGGACTTTCCAGAATGCCAACCTGTCCGTTTCCAGCCTGCAGCACGCTGTAAGCTGTTTTCATGAAGTCAGTCTGCACATCGTACGGCGTGTAGGGATGGTTGAAGTCGATGCCTTCAGGAACAGGCAGGCCGCTGCCTGGAGCAGCCGCCATGGCGAAGTTGAAGTAGTACGCGACACAAGACGAGCATGCAATCAGGACATCAAGCTGGTAGGGGGAGACAAGGGGGAAGTGAATGACGACGGCGCAGTCGGGAAATAAAGATCGGACTGATGAAACAACAAACAGATATTGAAGCGAAAGGGGGCCTTCGAGCTGGGTTGGGAATTGCTTCAATGAGATTGGATAGCGGAAGCAGATGGCAGTCGGACGCGCAAAACAAAGACCCACTGGCCGACCGGGTGCTCGCATGTGGTTTCGGTGAAGAACACCCGGGGCTTGCCTACCTAGTTTCGGTCAGCTTGGGTCAGTCAAGGTGAGAGACTGGGGCTGGTGACATGCACGAGCCACTCGCAACTGGCGAGACCACCCAGCCCTCGCCGGCTTAGGTAACCAGGACACACCAGCAGAAACCGGGTGAAAAAGGGCAGGAGCACAGACCACACCAAGAGACTGTACTGGTTGGTCCCCTCCCGCCCAGAAAAAAACCTGCAAAATCCTTAGGGCTGCCCTGCCCTCCGCCCCGCTTAACATTTTTCCGGAGGTTGCCGGCGTGCAGAGACACCCTCACAAATTTCGTGCGTCTTGCGACTTGACGAAAAAGAATCCCCATCCGCGATACCAGCAAGACGACCACCGATCAAACACCGTCGCCATGCCTACCCGATTCTCCCGCACCCGCAAGCAGTACGTTGATTCAATCCCGTCTCGGTCACAAACGAAATGAGTTTCTTCTCCCGCGAATGTCGTCGGCGCAGTCGCCGTTGGGATGCTTTGGATGGAGGGGAAAGGCTGGGGAGGGCAGCAGGAGTAGGGCGTGATGTGTGCCGGTGGAAGGCCTTTTGGAGCTCTGCTGCGCCCATCTGAAGAGGAGGATGGGGACGGCCGACGAAGCATCGCGACGCGGGAGAGACGAGACTCTCGAATTGATCACGAAGCTGACATGTTTTTCGCAGCCGCGGTCACGTTTCCGCCGGTCACGGACGTATCGGCAAGCACCGCAAGCACCCAGGTGGTCGTGGTCTGGCCGGTGGTCAGCACCACCACCGCACTAACCTCGACAAGTACCACCCTGGTATGTTCTCTCTATTGTCAAGAGACCAAGTTTGAACAAGATTTGCTGACATGGTGCAGGTTACTTCGGTAAGGTTGGTATGAGATACTTCCACAAGCAGCAGGCGTACGTACACCCCGAATCCGAACGACGTGAAGCTTCCGGCTGTGCTCTGCAACCCACGACAATTTCGACATGACGAAATCAGACAACGTCCACAACGCGCGCCACATCCCTACACGGGATTGCGAAGGACTGTGGCACATCGAAACAACAGCAGTCTACCACGACGAGAGTTTCACTAGAACGGGACGCAGAGCACACCGGGGCGCCAATCGTCGGAGGATCTCCCACCCATCGCGTCAGGCACTAACCCCTGTCTGCAGGCACTTCTGGAAGCCCGTCATCAACCTGGACAAGCTCTGGACCCTCGTCCCCGCTGAGAAGCGCGAGGAGTACATTGCCGGCAAGAAGGACACCGTCCCCGTCATCGACCTCCTCCCCTTCGGCTACTCCAAGGTCCTCGGCAAGGGCCGCCTTCCTGAGGTCCCCATTGTCGTGAAGGCCAGGTGGGTCAGCAAGCTGGTACGTTGCCCTCCTCCCGCCTCTTGTGTGCAAGAGTTGTGCGAAACTAACCCTGTCCCACAGGCGGAGAAGAAGATCACCGAGGCTGGCGGTGTTGTCGAGCTGGTGGCATAAGTTCGGAAACTACTCCACGGGGAAAATATCCAAACACACTTGACGGATTGGGAATGACGGCCATGCAGCCTCGGAGCGGGCGGCGGACCGCTTTTTTGTCACACAACTTGCGCTTGGCGGGACATGGGAAAGGGCCTAGGGACGGCTTTTCGCATTGCATGAAGATCTGAACTTCCAAGGAGTTAAACCGAATAAAAAAAGGCTCTTGATCTCACATCGTCATGGCGGGCGCCATCATCGCCCCGCGTCAACATAGATGACGACGCCGGGCCGTGTGTCTTTCTGGCAGTGTTTGGGCGGCGTCTGGGTCAAGTCGGACGGACGGGTACGATTGAATGGTATTACTTTACGTCGTCTTCCACTTACGTGCCGTGCTTGTGCTGTTGTACATGTGACGCCTTGGTCATCTCGCCTGCCCGCGATGCTGTTCCATAATGTCGATACGGTGAAGATGCCGTCCTAGGTAACGGCACTTCAATGCGCCCTACCTCCCAACGCCACCTGCTCTACCGTCTAGTCGTACAAACACATAATCATGTTCACGCCACTGGTATAAGAGTGCCTTGCCAAAGAAAAAAAAACATTATCATTACGCCTCAAGCATGTCCATCTCGTCGTCCTCGGTTTCTATCGTCTCCACGGACTGTTTTGGCTCAGGCTCCCGTAGGAACTCATGCTCCAACGCCTCCTGGGCGCTGATTCTCCTCGCGGGGTCCAACTCCAAGCATCGGCCCAGGAACTCGACAGCCAGCTTCTCCTCGTCATCCAACGGGATACCTGGCTGACCGTCCTTGCCGCCGTCAGTACGGCATGTGGACCACAGGATAATCTTCTCGAGCGAGAAACCCGCGGTGCCCACTGTGGGGATATTTGTTTCGAACATGGCGCCGTGCAAGAGACCCGCCTGCTTCATACGCTTGGTGCCAAAAATGGTGGCAATCTCAATCATGGCTTCGACGTCGTCGGCGCTGTTGAAAAAGGGGAAGCGCTTGCTCATAATGGTCAGGAGGATGACGCCTGCTGACCAGATGTCGATCTTGGTGGTCTGTTCTGTGCACTTGAACAGCACTTCGGGAGCACGGAAGCCTCTTGTGCCGGCACGGTTGGCTCGCCGTGACGGGCGGCTGTCTGCCTTGGGGTAGCCTTGCTGGGGACCGTTTTGTGATGCTGCGCTGTTTTGAATCCGCTGCTTGCGGACGTCTCTGCTCTCGTGGCAAAGGCACGGCTTGCTGTCGGATCCCTCGCGCTCGGCGAGACCAAAGTCGACCAATACACCACGCCGCGTCTGGGGGTCATACAGAAAGTTGGTGGGCTTGATATCGCGATGCAAGATCTTGTGCTCGTGGACGGCCTTTAGCGCGGTAAACAGGCTGCGCAGGTAGATGGCCATGTCTGAGATCTTCATCTGGCGGAAATAGTCGCGGAAGTCCTCGTGGCGGAAGTAGGGCAGAATGGCAACGACTTGGTCGGTGCTGCGGAAGGCCGTGATCAGTGGACAGACTGCCGGGCAGTTTCTGAGATCGTGGAGCAACTCGAGCTCGTTGAGGATACGGGTGGGACTGGAGGTGACGTAGATTTTCTTGATGGCGACATATCGAGCGCGACGACGTGGCTCTCTCGAGGGGTTGTGGCTGCCATTACGCTGCTTCAAAGGCGGGGTGCTCCATTTTTGGTCTCGTTCGTTGTTCTCGATATCCCAATCATTGTCGTATCTGTCGTATTGGATGTCTTCGGCCTTGTAGACGGTTGAAAAGGTGCCTGGGCGAGTGTCGGTCAGCAGAAGCTCAAGATAGAGGGGAAGGGACGGTGAGAGGGAAAAGTACCTTCGCCAATTCTCTTAATAAGACGATACCTATGTCGAAAGCCGGGGAAGACGTCTTGCAGACGGACCATCTCGCGCTGGACGCTGGAGTCGACGACGTCGTCCTCATCGGAGCTGTCGTCGGTGGATTCGTTGTCGTTCTCGGCGTCGTCGGCATCGTCCTCGTCCTCGTCGACCTCGGTCTGGTGCTCAGAGCCGGCCACCATCTCCGTGTCTTCTGTACGGGCGTGGGGGGGATCCTCGTGGATCTCGAAGCGCTCGCGGCTCCTTTTCCTGGTGGCAGTAGCCATGGTTCTGGAATCTGGTTCTCGTGCAGTGTCCTCGTTGGCGGTCACCGGACGATGGGCCAATTGGAGCTGGGCCTGGGGCTGGTCGGTCGCGGCGTTGTTGGCGTTGTTGGCGGTGGCATGGAAGGGCGAGTAGGCCTTCAAGACACTGTCTGGGGTAGCCCAGTGCTCGACGTTGAGAGCTTGGCCAAAACGAGTCAATTGGTCGATGGCGTCCAGATTGGGTTGATTGAAGCCAGCTGAGGAATCCCGCTGGGTCGAACACTGCGTCATCCGAGGCGGGAGTTGGGGGGGATTTGTAGAGAGACCAGTTGTTTTTGTATACAAGGGATCTGGCGCAGTGCGTGCCGGTGTTGATGCGGCTGGCCGTGGCGCTTGCTTGGACTGGCTGGCTGGGACTGGCTGGGACTGGCTGGCCGTCTGGCTGGCTGGCTGGCTGGGTCTGGCGCTGCGTGTTGTATGTACGTATTGTGTAGAGCAGTTCGGTCGGTAGATTGAGTCTTGGTCGATTGGGTTCGTTAGATCATCTCAGTCCGTGGGCAGTTGGTGTTGGGTGTCACAGTGTCGCTGCCAGGCGTGCTGATTGGTGTCTCGGTCGTGTTTCTTTCCTTTTTCTCCTGATGCAGCTCTTCTCTGTCTCCTTCTGGCTCCGAGAATCTTTCTGATGGCGGGCATCCAGCTGCTTTCTAGTGGAGGGGCATCCGCCTGGCCCCGTCCACCCCGGCCAACCGTCGGCCACGATTTCAGGGTACTGGCTCCACTGACAGCACGCGCTGGCCAATGGAGGACGCGAGTGTGACCCCGCACCGCCATTTTGGGACGAAAGAGGAGGGAAACTGCGACCGGCGCGTCGAAAGAAAACAAAAACAAAAATCCCCCTCGGTTGCTAGGCGCATTTGGGTCCTTTTTGGGGGGGCTGCCACCTTACCTTACAGAGGGGGGGATTCCTGCCGTCACTGTGCACCGTTTTATGTCTGTGTATGTACATAGCGCCGGCCTGCACCTGCACCTGCACCTGCACCTGCACCACCAAAACAATCCCACCACAACTTTTCGACATCGTCAACACCACAAGCCGATTCCTCCGCCGGCTGGCGCATGCCTACTCACCTTAGTATTTACTACTAACCTTTGCAGCAGGACCACGGCGCCTACTTCCTTCGCTTTGCATCAGGTCGCACACAGACGGCCATCATCTGACCTCTCTTGGTCCTGTCCCTTCTTGTTCTTATTCATCTTCTCTTCCCTCCCCGTCCGACTTTCAATCGCATTCTCGCCGCAGGGTGCGCACCACACCCCTCGACCGCAGCCATGGACTCGGTCGCATTCGACATCAACGATGCGCTCAAGCATTACATGAGCGACCCTGCCAGCATACCAACTCCAGAGGCAGATGGCTCCCTTTTCGACTGCGAAAATGACCCCGAGGGCCTCACCAACGGCGTCGTCAACCCCGTTCTCAACCCCATTGTTGACGCCGTCGCCGAGAACCCCGAGGCCATCACTCGCAGCGCCCATCTCGATTCTCTCCAGTTCCTCCTAAAGTGCGCACCCATCTCCCCTTGTCCTTCAGACCCCTCTCCTTCGATTCCTTTATCCTCCTCCAGGCTCTCCGCGAAACAAAGACGTGATTCTGAACGTATGAACCCTTCCAGGTATACCACCTTCTTGCCAACACATGCCCTGAGCAAGATCTTCGACCTCATCATGTCCGGCCTTGCCGCCGAGGCTGATGCCATAAACCACGACCTCGAGTCCCCCGACGAACAAGAGACCCTCGCACACCACAAGCAACTTCTCGAGATCTACGGCTTCCTCCTGCAGTGGACCATCGCTGCCGTCGAGACCAAGGCTGCCGAAAAGTCGACAACAGCACCCGTGGCCCGAGGCCGCGGCAAGCCAAAGAAGAATGCGCCCAAGGGCCAAGACGGCGTCTGGGACTCCGCCAGCCAGTTGCAATCCGCCCTCGACATCATGAGCAAGGTCCTCAAGTTGAAGCTCTCCAAGATCTTCCTCACCACTTCCGAGAGAGACACCTTTGTCGGTCTGCTAACTCGTCCGGTCTACATGGTGCTCGAGAGCGAACAGCGCGTCAAGGCCATCTCCATCAGGATGCACGCCTTCAAAGTCCTCTGTATCGCCGTCAAGCACCACGGCCATGCCTACGGTAGGTGTTGGGACTGATTGCATCTATGCCTAGCTTTGTACTGACTATTCCCCCAGCTGCCCAGATTTCTATAGTTCAGAATCTGACGTACTTCGAGCATCTCTCCGAACCCATGGCCGAGTTCCTTCACATCTTGGCTGAAACCTACGACTACCCCCAACTGGCCGACGAAATCCTGCGCGAGCTCAGTAACAAGGAGTTCAACAGCAACGACACCAAAGGCCCAAAGTCCGTCTCGCAATTTATTGTCAAGCTCTCCGAGCTGGCCCCTAGAATCGTCATTAAGCAGATGACGATGCTTGCCAAGCAGTTGGACAGCGAGGTAATTAGTGCGACCCCAATGGTGTTGAAATCATTCTGACCGCTGCTCAGTCATACACTCTGCGTTGCTCCTTGATCGAAGTTTGTGGAAATATGGTTGCCCACCTTGTCAAGCAGGATGAGCGTGGCGAGAACCACAAGTCCCAGCTCGACGCCTTCTTCGACGTCCTGGAAGAGCGTTTCCTCGACATCAACCCCTACTGCAGATGCAGAGCCATTCAAGTCTACGTCAAACTGTGCGATCTCGAGCAAAAGTTCCCCAAGAGACGACAGCGCGCCGCAGAGCTTGCTTGCCGAAGCCTGGAGGACAAGAGTAGTCACGTAAGAAGGAATGCCATCAAGCTTCTCGGCACCCTCATCAAGACACACCCCTTCACTGCCTTACACGGCGCCCTGCTAGTCCGTAAGGACTGGCAGGCTCGCCTCGACAAAGTGGAAGAGGAATTGAACGCTTTGAAGCCTCCCGAGGGCGCCGGCCTTGGCGACAACACCGCTGTCGACAATACTCTTCTGGACGACGCCACTCAGGTCGAACAATCCCCGCAGAAGCCCATGACTGATGAACAAAAGTTCGAGGCAGTGAAGAAGGCGCGCGAAGAAGCTGCTACGTCTGAGGCGATTGAAAAGCTCACGCTGACGAAGCGATACTACTCCGAGGCTTTGAAGTTCATTGATGTTCTTCACGACGCCACTGGTACAGTTTGCCAGTTGCTTGGCTCCAGGAACAAGAGCGAGGTCATTGAGGCCATGGACTACTTTGAGATTGGCGATGCCTACAAGATCGAGCAAAACAAGGTCGGCATCCGCCGTATGTTGCGTCTCATTTGGACCAAGGGCAACAGCGACGAGGGCAAGGGCGTCCAGAGCCATCTCATCGATGTGTACAAGCGCATCTTCTTCGAGGCACCCGGCAACTTCACCGCGAACGATGCTGCCAACTACATTGCTCGCAACATGATCAGTCTTACGAGTGAAACAACGCCTGCTGAATTGACTTCGCTCGAGCAGCTCTTGGCCACTATGATGAAGGGTGGTCTGATTCCTGAGCTCGTCATCGCCAAGCTCTGGCAGGTGTACGGCGTCCGCAAGCGCGAGATTTCCAAGAAGCAGCGCAGGGGTGCCATCATCGTGCTCGGTATGCTTGCGACTGCCAACCCGGAGATTGTGGTCGGGGAGATGGAGACGATGCTCCGTACCGGTCTCGGCGCACACGGTCGCGCCGATCTCCAACTGGCCAAGTACACCTGCATTGCTCTTCGCCGAATCAACCCCACAGGCAGGCAGGCAAAGGAATCCACCGTCAAGTTCTCTCGCCTTCCAAACGAGCACGCCGTTCTGGCCAGGTTGGCAGCCATCACTGAGGTTCCCTCGGACAGCAAGGAGTGGTATGGTGTGGCCGAGCAGGCCATCAACGCCATCTACGCTATTTCCAAGCACCCGGATATTCTCTGTTCCGAGATCATTCGGCACAAGACGAAACGCGTCTTTGCTGCTCCCTCATCCAGACCCGTGTCTAGGGACGAGAGGCCGTCTTCTCGGGATGAGATGGCGTCTCAATCCTCGCGTTCCGAGAGCAAGGAACCTGACGTGGACGACGACGCCAGCGACGGAAATGAAACCGTCGTCCCTCCGCCCAAGAAGCGCGACAACGCCATCGCCTTGTCACAACTTTTGTTCATCGTCGGTCACGTTGCCATCAAGCAGATTGTGCATCTGGAGCTCTGCGAGCTCGATTTCAAGCGTCGCAAGCAGGATCAGGAGAAGGAAAAGACAGCAGAGAAGGCTGCTCAGGCCGCTGGTAAGAAGGACGAGCCTGACGACCTCGATCTGATCGGTGGCACCACAGAGGACGACTTCACGGAAGCCATGGCACACATTCGTGAGCGAGAGCTGCTGTACGGTCCGGCATCTCTGCTCGCCCAGTTCGGCCCTCTCGTCTCAGAGATCTGTGCCAACAACACCACCTATGCCGACAAGGGACTGCAGGCCGCTGCGACTCTTTGTCTTGCTAAGCTCATGTGTGTCAGCTCCGAGTACTGCGAGGCCAACCTGCCTCTACTCATCACCATCATGGAGCGTTCCACCGATGCCACTGTGCGCTCCAACGCCGTCATTGCGCTCGGAGACATGGCGGTGTGCTTCAACCATCTTATTGATGAAAACACCGACTTCTTGTACCGCCGTCTGGCCGACAAGGACCAGTCAGTCAAGCGCACCTGCTTGATGACTCTGACCTTCCTCATCTTGGCTGGTCAGGTCAAGGTCAAGGGTCAGTTGGGTGAGATGGCCAAGTGCCTCGAGGACGAGGATCGTCGTATTGCCGACCTCGCGAGGATGTTCTTCACCGAGCTTAGCACCAAGGACAACGCTGTGTACAACCACTTCGTCGACATGTTTAGTTTACTGTCTGCTGAGAAGGGCTTGGAGGAGGAGAGCTTCAGAAGGATTATCAGGTTCCTCCTGGGCTTCGTTGAGAAGGTATGTTTTGCTGTTCTAATGCCGATGACCCCTTCTGACCTTTCCTGTAGGACAAGCATGCCAAGCAATTGGCCGACAAGCTCGCTGCCAGACTTCAGCGTTGCGAGACCGAGAGACAATGGAACGACGTCGCCTTCGCTCTCGGCCTACTGCAGCACAAGAATGAGGAGATCACCAAGACCGTCTCTGAGGGTTTCAAGGTGGTTCAACTCGCTGCGTAAGCTCAGATGGGACAGACAGGACAGGCTGGCCTTGTGGCCGTGTAGATATAGGGTCATGGGTCGGCGTTGGCGGTTCAAGTTGGTTCTGGCTGGTTGGCTTTTTGACTTGCGTCACGTTGGGATACCACACACAGTCTTGTACGGATGATGAGACTTAATGACGTTGATGAACTTGTTCACATTGGATACGATTTCTAAAAACGTTTGATTTGCATGCGGTTCTGTGATTGCCGTTGCCGTTACCGCTACCTGCGGTCTTGACCGTTGTTTGGGATCGAAAATTTTAGTAGGCCCAGGCGCCCCCTGAATGAGAAGATCAGGAGTCGGCATGTCCGGGCACCGTACAAATCGCACTCAAGAAGAATTTGTAGGAAAGTAGGGAAGACTGCCATGAAAAGCGACCAAGCCACGCTGGAATCCGACAGAGAGCGCGTATTGCAGTGGCGATGCGACTTCCCGAGGTGTTCGGAGACTCGCGTTCTCCACTCAAGCCCCATCAAGAGACTAACAACGGAGTTCGATCACAAACACCAAGACGTGTAAACCATGCAACGGAGACCGATAATGGGGATTTCACGGCGTACAAATAGTGGTTGGTCTCGAGGGTTTTGATTTCTGTGATTACTTTTTTGCACGCTCGCTTCTACGTCAGTCACTCATTTTCCTCCTTTCTTACTATACCATTCCAATTACGCACTCATTACCATGTCGTTTTCACCATCATCAAAGGTGGTTCTGGCAACAGCCGCGATAACTCTGATAGACATCATCAGCGTTCGCTCGATCACACCGTACTCAAAGCTTCTTGCCAAGTCGGCTCCTGGAACACCCCAAAATGACGCCATCATCTACGCGTCCAACGGCACTACAACCCTCTCTTCCAACGGGACAGCTGCTTCTGTCGTGGTTCTCGACTTTGGTCGCAATGTCGAGGGCATACCTACCTTCGAGGTTGTGTCTGCCTCTGGCGATACTTCCGTCTTTGAGATTTCGTACGGAGAAACCGAGGCAGCACTCAGCGTGTACATGGTGCGTTGTTCGACCCCTCTTTCTGACGACGATTTTGAGAGGTTCTCGCAGCTGACAAAACCCAGAGCGATGGACCACTTCCCCTGGCGGCAGCGATGGACACTTACAGAGTCAACCGATACAACGTCACCGGTCCCTCGATCGTCAACAACCGTCTGATACAAGGAACCTTCCGTTACCAAAAGCTCAACCTGTCAACCTCGGGAGCCCTCACGCTACGCAACATCGGTGTCAAGCCCACGACTTCTACCACGGCACTGACCCAACTTCCCGGTTCCTTCGATTGCTCGGATGAAGACCTCACGAGAATATGGAGCGTGGGAGCAAGGACGGTGCAGCTGACCGAGATCCCCAGGAACTCCATCCCGGACTTTCTGAATGTCACGGAGGAGGGGGCCTATGCCGAAAGTGCGGCACCCCAGGCCCTGGGAAGTGCCGTTGCTGCCCAGCTTCTCAACTATCGCCTTGATTTTCGAGTCAAGCCTGTCAAGGGCGGTTTTGGATTTTCCGTTCTGTCAGACACGTTGAATAGCGCTATCTACATCTCCTTCGATCTCGACAAGCGCTCCATCACGGCTCATACTGGTTCGACTGCTTTAGATACCCAGATCGCTGCGGCTGATATCCCGGCCAACCTCACCCTGGCTCTCGGATCATGGCATTCCGTTCATGCCACAGTTGATATCACCGAAGTTAGCGTATCTGTGAACAACATCGACGTCCTTAAGCTATCCCAATCCGCCCGCTTCTTCGGCTCTTTCGGCTTCGGCGCCTCCCTAGGCCACGCAGCTTACTTCCAGAACATTACCGCAACCACGCCAACGGGCGACGTTATCTACACTCAACCCCTGACCGACCGTTCCTTCCTTGCCGACTTCTTCATGGGAGCCAACCCCGCCGACACCATCGTCGACGGCTCCCGCCGGGACCGCATCGCCTACTCCGGCGACCTCGACATCGCCGTCGGCGCCGCCTTTGCCAGCACCTTTGGCACCTCCTTCATTGATGGATCTCTCGACCTCATCGGCTCGTACCAAGTCACCCCTGGCTTCTTCACCCCCACAGCCAAGATCCAGCAGGAGCCCCTGTCGGCTCCTCTGGACGTGAACGTTACCGGCCTGATTGGGTATTCGTTCAACTTCCTGACTGCCATCGCCCAGAACTACGAGATGAGGGGCAACCTGACGTTCGCCCAGACCTGGGCGCCCAAAGTCGTCAAGATGCTCGACTGGGCGGACTCGCAGACTCTGCCGAACGGCCTGTTCAATCTGGCAGAGGAGTCTTTCGGCGGTGATTGGAACTACTACGATACCCCTCAGTCTGGCGTCGTGACGAAGTTCAACGTTGTCTACGCGTACTCTCTGCAGCAGTGTTTGAGGCTTCTTGAAGACGCCGGTGTTGACGTCGCCGTGTACCAAACCCGACTTGACCGTCTGAGAGCTGCGATCAACGAGAACCTCTGGAACGAGGATTTGGGAGTCTACATCTTGTCCGAGAAATTCACAACCGGGTTTTCGCAAGATGCCAACGCACTTGCTATCCTCGCCGGCGTCCCCGGGGCGCCCACCAACGGGTCATCGGCCCCACTCCGGTCCGCGTCCTCCATTCTCTCCGCTATGGCCTCCGGACTCGTGGCCCCGGCCGGAGCCCTCGCCTTTTCCAATGCCACCGTCGCTGCCGGCTGGGCCGAGAAGGTGAGCCCATACGCTGCGGCCTACCACCTCCGCGCCGCGCTCGAGTCAGGTGACGCCTCATCTGCTATGATGCTGCTCAAGAAGACCTGGGCACCGATGGCAGACCCAACCAACGCAAACTACACGGGCTCCTTCTGGGAGACGCTCAACGCTGACGGCACGCCGGGGCTGGGCCTAGTGACGTCGCTCTGCCATGGATGGGCGGCGGGCCCTACAGCGGAGCTGAGCAAGCATGTTCTTGGTATTCAGCCAACGGTACCTGGATTTGCCGGATGGAAGGTCGAGCCACAGACAATGGGCCTCCAGTGGGCCAAGGGTCGTGTCCCGACCGTGTTAGGGGACTTCGCTGTCGACTGGCGGTTTGAGGGTGGGCTGCTGCGGATGAAGGTCGAAAGCCCCTCCGGAGGGAACAGGGGTATGGTGTGTCTGCCCCAGCCGCTCCCAACCCCGATTGAGAAGACCGTTATCCGCATCAACGGCGTTGTCGCCAACGGGTCTGCCTTTGAAGTTGCGGGAGGGGACGCATTCGTATTGACACAGGACTTCTCGCATTGAAGAGACGGGACCCATTCCTCAAAGTTTTACGCAGTCAGTGAACAAACCTGTGCCCTTTCTTTTGGTTCTACTGCGGTACGCCTCCCAGCATGGAATAGATGCATGTGTACTCGCACGCAGATCGAGTATCGATATGATGTATATACTGTGGAAGTAGACAACATGCAAGAGGCTAAACGCCATTCTCCCAGTGTTTCGGTGAGGGTTTTTCTTCGTCATTCTTCATCGCGCTCGTCATTATGAGTGCCGTTCTTACCAGGATCATCTTTCCCACCCTCCCCGCGATTGTCATCCTCGCTTGCTGTGCAGGATGCCACTTCGTCTGATACTACAATGAAGTAGCGACTGTCCACCACGCAAGATACATACTACACTGTCCCGGCATAAAGGTTGGAGATGGGTTCAAAATGCCAAAGCCAAAGCGGCCGCGTTCAGTGCATCTCCGTCGCTTGCGATTGGAGGTGGCAATCTCAAGGTATCACCGCGCAGAGAGTTGCCGTCATGAGCGGATGGCAGACCCCTCCATTGTGCAGCACGCCTGCAGAAGCGCACGCCTGCAGGTTCAATCTGGTCTCTGAGTGGATTATCACCTTTCCCGCGGTCGGCCCCCCCCCCCCCCCCCCCCCCCCCCTGGACGGAATCCCCGCCGTTTTAGACGTCCATCCAGACCTCGGAATCGACGCCGGGGCACATTGACCAATCAAAGACACCGGAGGCCGTCCGGCTGGCTATTGTTCAATCTCTGCTTTGAGAGGTGTCCCGCTTTTTCGTATGACACCTGGGAACGGCATGTTCGTCGCACATCCACACACACGCGCGGGGCTCTTCCGTCACCGTAGCGTTCCCAATGGCCCAACGAGAATCACGAACTCAGAGCCCCCAGAAGAGTATCCATCCTGAGGGCCAAATATTAGCACCCTCTGACTGGACAGATGAGCCCGGAGTTCATGGCGGCTCTCCGTTCTCAAGGCATTGGGTGTCTACTGATATCAAAATCGCCAGACCTGGACTTGCCTCCGGACGAGTAAGGGCCCTCTCACCGATACCTTTCCGTGTCCTCGCGTCCTCGTCTTCCCATTGAAATGGCCGATCAATCCTGTGCGCTAATCTGTAGGCGCATTGGCAAACAAACGAGCCTTTGCCCTGGCCCAGGGGCGAAATAGACATGCCGTTCAACCAGTCTAGACATGAGCCCGAAATGCCGTCTCAGAAGGGCGCGCTGTTCTCTTCTTGCATCAATGGTACCAAACATTCCTTCTCGTACGAGGACACGTTCTCGCAAGTATCATGTACCAAGTATCATGTACAGAAGAGGGGGCTGGATCCTCCTGGCTGGAGATATCGATTCAAGGACAGACGTCACCTGTGGTTCAGTCTTACAAACCCGCGTTGCATGGGCCCGCTGTTCTAGTTACAGTCTTAAAACGTCAGTTGGGAATTTTTTGCGTCGATCGTCTGCTGCGGAGGAGAATCCCACGCAAACAGTCAAAACACATAAGGTTGGCGGTTTCCTCAGCCTCATGTTTTCCATGCTAGGAGCATCAGGAACCGCTCCCTGAAAGTCAAAAAAAGGTCACCTGGTAGTGTTAGCTCCAGAACTTTGGCTCGGAATCTGTCACGCACCCGCCAACCCTTTCAAAGCCCCCAAGGACCACCGCCCAGCAACAGTAGCACGCAATACCAACGAGACCCCCCGGGCTGAGAGCCGCGACCACAGCTATACTTGAATTCGATCGTTGTAAAACACACATAGATCACATACGACGTAAGTTGTTTGTCTGAGCGGCGCACATACGAAACGTCACTAATCTTCCAAGCATAGGCTATGGCGAGAAGGCTGGAAGCAAAGCCCGGGTTTGAAATGAACACAAACCTCAAGCCATCAAGAGAATGTATTCGTGAAGCTTGCGAGAATTGTCGCGAGAAGAAGGCGAAGGTACACGGCCTCACACTTGTGCAGTCTACTCGGCCCAGGAATTAATAGGTTGCTTCCTAGTGCAATGGAGAAACCCCATGCTATAGATGCATCTACAGACGCCTAGAGTGCAGATACGAACCTCGGCACATCCGCTCCAAGCGCAGTCTGCAGGCTGAGCTCGATGTCCTCAAGGCTGCGCAACGCCAGAAAGATGCCGTAATTGCGGCGCTGTCACTCCCAAGCCAGAGCATGGAGGTGCTCCAACGACTGTGGACAGGCGAGCCGATTGAGAGTATCTACGAGACTCTCGGGTGTCGTGAGGTGTTGCACTCATCCGAAGCTTCAAACCACGCCTCAGACGTAGTCCAAGGTTCCACTGCCCCGGACCAGCCACCGACGAACGCGTTCAGTGCCTCATCTTCGTCTACGCCCACCCAGACGTGGTCTAGCTCCCAGCCAGCTGTGGAGCAGACAGAAATTGCCATGGGCCAGAACACGGGAACCGGCCACCATGGAGGAGAAATGGACTGCGATGAACACGTCGCATCGGAGTATTCCAACGAACAGGTCGGAGGCTCGATGCTCGACTACAGCGGTTTCATGAACTTAACTTGCAATGGGGCCTTCAATCACTTTGGAGTCGGAGCTCCCAACTACGACCCAAACATCCCTTTCGGCGACTCCACACATGTTCAGCAGTGTGATGCCAACATACACCACTTTGAGAACGTCTCATTTCCCAACGATCCCGAGTACCTGAGAAAATCCTCGAGCAGCACTCAGAGCAGCCAAACGAGCTTCTCAAACGGGTCATCCATTGAGTCCATGCTTTGGCCAGGCTCTGAAGACGGGTTTCCCCCGTCGAGCGACCCTGCACATATGCGCCCTGGCCTGTCGCCAATTGCATCACCGATAACGATTAGTTCGACCGAGTCTCGCCCTGCCTCCCGCGAAGCAGTTTGTAAAAGCCCGGCGAAGAACCCGTTTCGGTCACCAAGAAAGCAGAGAACCAACAGCGAGGTTCCTTTCCGACCTCGCACGAGAAAGCGGAGTCTCAACGAGGAAGCCCCCTTCTCAAGATCACCAAGCTTCACAGAGGACGATACGCAGACGTCGAGAGAGCAGAGCGTGTACCCTTCAGACTCGTCACAGTCTCGCAAACGGCACCGCACGGCCTCGGCGCGCAGTTACAAGAAGCAAAAGGACCAGATTGAATTCATGAAGGCGGTCAAGTTGGATGTCGAAATCCGCAACGAGGAGCTGAAGAAGGAGCATGCGGAGCTGTGGCACCAAGTGCTAGCGATCAAGAACGCGCTCATGGGCCACGCTGATTGCAAACACCCAACAATCAACGCCTGGCTACAGGCAGAAGCTGCTGACTTCGTTCGTGACGGCGTCAATAGCCATAGTCGCAAGGCGGGAACATGGCCGGTCGGCCAGTAGGATAATTGGTCTGGGTCGAGGTGGTCAGCAGTAAGGCGAGAGAGCTGCATGCGAGTGACAGCGAAATGTCTATCATATTCAATCCTAGGAAGGTCCTACATTGAGTGGGGAAGAAGCTAAGGTAGGAGGCGTTGGGAATGGGATGTGGGTGGTGGACCACAGGCTTTGGTGATTCTAGCGTGGAGTCGAGGTCACATAACGGGTACAGCAAGCGAAATGCTGTTTGAGGCAATTGCCTAGCTAGGCGTTTGGTAGCTCGCTGGCTTTCTGATACTGTCGTTTGTGCGGATAGCTTTACTGTCATGACAATCAAAAATTCCTTGATTTCAAGCCCATGCAGCGGGTCTTGTGCGTCAACTCCCCCAGATAGATGCCCGGTATCTCGGCGACATACCGGGATTCACGGTTCCATATCTGTGCAATGACTAGATTCAGATCAACTTGGATACCTTAAATAGAAACTGCGGTGCTTGCCAGGAGACGTCCCGGCAGGCAAGTCAATCTTGTCAGGGTGGATGGACCCTTGAGCCCTGACAGGATGAACCCTTGGAAAACGGTCAGACCCCACCGCTGCCACCACGTTTTCCGGTGAGATCCAAGGTTGGGATGCTCGAGACTTGGCTGCTGGGTCTTGTTGGCTTGATCCTGGCTCTGAAGGCAACGCCCTTGTAGCAGGAGCGTCCCATCAGGCCTGGGAACAAGTTCAACCTCGCCCGCATCTCTCACAACCAGGGCCTGATGAGCAGGCCATAAAACCCACCGCGCAGATGGAGTTCCTTCTGCCATGACCAACTGGAATACGGTCGAGTGGGGTTGGTTTTTCAACGTCGACGGTAGGGCGGAAGAGACGAAGCCCCTGATTCGGAAGGTTTGGATCAGCACGGCGGACCTCGGAATGGGGGGCTGGCAGGGCCACTCGATGTCCAAAAAAGATACATACCCGTGGAAATCGAAGGTACTGAGGGCATGTCTTGTTCAGTTTTTACGACGCCCAGTGAGGACCTCTGGACGAGTTCGATGATTGGTTGTCGGGGTGCACTCCGTGCCACTACCCAGACTCGTCGGAGTCGACCCCGCCCCGGAACCACCTTCCCGCCCATCCTGCCACGTAATCTCGGCCTTGTACAACCTGACATCTTGGAAACGGTTGCAAGATACATTTGTCAAATGTTTGTCTTCTGACAGGCCATCACCCAACGCAGTTGAGACACGGTCAGCAGTAATGGTACCCAACCCTCCTTGAACTCGCTCGGCAATCGAGGTCATAATATTACGGAGTCTTCCGCGTCCCACTGCTAAGAAGTTCTTTCTACGTATAATCCAAAGTTGCAAGGGTCGGGGAACGGGCACAACAACATTCAGAGGCCATCACTTGGCAGACGGGTTGAATGGGGCAAAACCTGTCTCGGTTCATCAAGAAAGGGTAAACGCACAGCACCTGGATGTCTTGTGGGAACAGATACAATCCTCTCGACTTTTCTGATGTGCCATTTCTTTGCCATAAGGCGATACCCTCAGATGTCATCTCCACTGACGCCATGGCGAGCGACAAAGATATGCGTCGATAGATTCGATTGAACAACAACATGTAAGTCGAGCTCTCCATAGGAAATCAGCTTTTCAGCTAGGCCTAGGCGCCCTCCCATGACAAGTAAATTACAAGCAACGTCAACAAAAATGACGACAACGACGACAAAGGCAGCGCTAGCCCGAAGACTCAGAATTACATGAAACTAACGTACAAAAAGAAGACTGCGTGGAAGGATACTGAGCCCGGCTAAAAAGCTCGCAGAATATTGACCGCTACATCAACCGATTCACTTGTGGCATCCGGACCCCACCTGTTCTCCGACACCGAAGCCGCCCGGGATCCACTCAGCGCCGATAGCTTCCGGGACTCATATGTTAGTCCCCGGGCGTCATAGCCAGTATGACCCAATAGACCTGGGATTCTTATTCCAATGGGCGGTCAGTTCATATGCGAAAGATATAAGTCAGTAGAGCGGGTTTTGAACATACTGTGCACCCATGTCCGCTTCCCAGCGCCACTTTTCGCCACGTCTCGTCAGAAAGTGAACACTGTTGCTCTCCAGAGCTGGATGGCATACCGTACGAACGTCTTAAACGAGATACTACAGAGAAATCCTTCCAAAAGATCTTGGCCAGGAAGGTGTAGTCGGGCAGCATATGACATCGTTCGGTTGGCGAGAACGGACTCTCCACCTGTGTCAGACGAGTTCCAGACGGACAAATATCACAGGAAAAGATAGCATAACCAAGCTGGTTTTATGTTGGTGACTCACGTTGAAATTACATTTTGTTTTCAATGCGAAAGGCTAGGATCAAGAGCTGACGAACGAGATGCCTAGCATCGGTGCCTTGGACGAAAAGCGGACGATATCCTTGGACTGATGTCTTCTGATCAGCAACTTGATCTAATACATCAGACCATTTTATTTGTATGCCAATTATGTAATTGATAATCTCAATCTGTGTAGCATATAGAGAGCTCAAACGGCCGCCGTGTCTATGTGGTTGCCGCGATAGGAAGAGGTGCCAACGATTTCCGACGCCAATTTCATCACCGACCAAATCCTCTAACATTATAAGAGCCATGACGGTAACTATTGCAGATAGTATACTCATAAAGCGTAGAAGCTCTTGGAGATCGAAGCCCGTCAATATCCGATCCCATGTAGGAGTACGTTGCCGGTGACAGGGCTCAGTGTAGTCATACGAAGCCCATCAGAACGTTGCAAGCCTGCTTCGTAGGCATTCGACACCTTTGCACAAGCTCAAGTTCGGGACGACTCCCAGCAAGGAATATCTTGAGCGTCGTAGACGTGCAGCTTTGATATCCAGCCTCCAAGCACGCATCACTCCCTAGCGACTATTACAAGTCTCTGCGGCCCCAGAACGTCCTAAGACACTCGTCGATGCATGGAGCTGGGGCTATTTTACGAACCGACATGATGCCCATCGGCGCGTCTACAGGGGTCAGACGAGCGCGTCAGGTTTCAGAACATACGACAAGATGACGAGGGCCTCAAAAGGCACGAGACTTCGGTGATGACAGGAGGCTTGGCTTTGAATGGCACTGATTGAACGGCTCGAATACGTTCGACCATTGTTACGACAGCCATGTTCAAGAAATCGACTAGTCAGGTCTTAGACTTGCTTTTTGAGCCCTCAGCCTGCCCCCTCTCGCATCGGTCCCCTGCGCTTCACTGAATTTTTGCTCTGCTCGGGGGGACTTGGCACTTGGTGAGGAGTCCGCCAGCTCAGTCCCAGTTCGATCATGACCGCGGTCGGATACCCGCCACGATCATCTCACTCGGGACATGGTATTCCACGTGATTCAACAAGTCATCTCGATTCTCTCCGTCTCGAAAAGGAATCATATGTACACGCCAGCTCTAGCCAGCCCATTTCCACCTCATCATACTTCCTTCACACTTCCCTCGCCGTTTAAGACTTGTTTTGCGGCACAACAGCAAAGGTAGGACGGACAAATCTGTAGCATATCCTCATTAGCATCTCCTCATATTCTCTTACACCCCTTAGGGGCATTGCTGAGTGATGGACATACCTGTCGTTGTGGTAGACCTTGGTGTTCTCGCCGAGCAGCTCCTTCTCTCTCGCCTGGTCGGCGTAATACCTGCGGATCTGATCACGGTCCTCCTCGGCCTGGAGGAGCGGGATGAGGTGGATGCGCGCCCACATCTTCTCTCTCGCGAGCTCGCTGTTGCGCATACGCCGTCAGCATTTCCGTCTTTTTGGCGGGGATTTTGTGCATGATATATGCCCTTGTCGAAAGATATCCAACCACCCGTGAAACACAGTGTCGGTACCGTTCAACAGCTTGGGCGAGGTCGTCCTTGTGGATTCAAGGGGGGAAAAGTGTCGCAACGTACTTGGCTTCCCGGATACCCTTGATCAGGTGGTACCATCCGTATCCCATCACGAGTCCCATACCGAGCAACATGGTGCCGGGGCGGAAACCGCGGGAGGGCAGGTTGCGCTATTCGGAGACAAGCAGTCAGCGTACAGTCCTCTGCGTGTCCGCGATTCTCCCTCGATGCTGCTCCAAATGCCTCCGTTCCTGGCTCCGAGCCCGCAACTCCGTAGGACGCTCCCCAACCCTGACAATCTGACTCCAGCGGCGAACAACTCCTCAAATGCCTCCTCTTGCCAGTCCGATACCGTCCCATCGCATCCGCCATCCCCCTCTTCCGGCTCTCCCACCTTGGCATTGCATCACCTGCCTCCTTCCAGCAATTCCACTCACCTTGTACTGCACGGCCTGGTAGCCGCCAACGGGGGGCATGTCCTGAGGCATCCTTCAATCAGTCCTACCGACCTTTCGCGGTCGGCTGCGCTCAATCGATAAGTGTGTGGTTGCGGTGGGTTATAGTTTTCGCGGGGGCGTCGTCGTCCCTCGTTCAATTGCCCCTTCGTGCGAGTGGGAGTCAATTGGCAGGCTTCGGTTCGGCTCGTTCGAGAGGCTTACGATGTACACCGGTGTCGGTCCGTCTGGGGGTGGTGGGCTGCGTTGGTTGACGTCGGTCGAGCTCGAGATTCTGGGTCAAGCTTTGGCCTGGCTGAGGGTGCCTGAGGTGATTGTTTTCGGGTCGATTGTGATTCGCTCGATTGGCCGGGATTATGTAAGGTTGTCGGTGATGCCCCACCAGAGGGTGTACACCGAAGCTCACCCTGTGTTGGCCGAGATGACTGCCCCTCAACAATGAAGCACCTCTCACTGTGACTTTCATTCGATTAGAGAAGACGGGAGAATGCATTTTAGTCTTGCTGAATTTTGAACTAGCTTAGGCCGTGATGCAAATACCGCCCGCTGCCGACTGTGCATCTGGCTGTCTATTTGAAATCCCAAATCCACACTGTAACCATAAATCCCCCTACAGATATTTGCACGTCTCAACTCCTTGCCATGCATCGCCAATGGAAAAAAGGCTGGGTATAAACCGAATGAACCATAGCCAACCGACTTTTCCACCTCTGCGAGGATCCTCCAGTTGCCGTGTTGTCTTATATGCATCTCATCGATAAAATTTTGAACAGAACTCGCTAATCTTCCCCAGCCGCCAACAGCTCAGCTTCCAAGTCCGCCTCGAGATCGTCCTCGTCAAAATCAGCCCCATGGTCCAGGTTCACTCCTCCGTCCGGCACGAGGGAAACATCCTCCTCGTCGCCTGTAACCTGCGGTGTCGGCAGACTACTTGATTCGTTGTCGTCTGCATTTGGCGTCCTCACCGAGCTCAGCTTCGAAGCGCCCCGGCTCTTGGCCACTCGCTGCTTCTTGGAGAGTGCACTGCCGCCTTCATCTGACGCGTTGTCATCGTCTACGGCCTTTCTCTTCGTGCCACCGGCTGAATTGCTCGACTGCTGAGACGAGGGTAGTTCATCGCCAGACTCCGTGTCTCCGCTACGGCTCTCCGTGTCGGCGTCTGAGCTGTCGTCGTCACTGCCCAAGAATTCCTTCATCTCATCATCGACACCCTCCCAGTCGAAAGTTTTGAGACCGTCTATTGGGCTGAGTTGGCCATCCTCGAATTCAGGCAGCAGGTTCTCCTCGCCTGCATCCTGTCCAGCATCGCCCTCATCTTCGTCTGATGCATCGTCGTCTTCTTCAAGGATGCGCTGCTCCCCGGTCTCGTCAATGATGGTGAGGTGCGGTTTTGATTGATCTTCACCATCCACGTCAGATACCATATCGGCGTCGGTCGTTCCTGGGGCAGCAATGTGCCTTCGGTCTGCGGGATGGACTTCGACAAGGTATGGTGTCTCGTCAAGGCGATGCCATTGGCTCAAGCAATCAGACAGCCAGTTCTGGCTCACGATTTTGATGCTGGAAATCCTCGCCGCCTGGCGTACCTTTTGTGTGCGTGGCCGCGATGTTGAGATGACTAGATGTGTTACCTTGGGCGACACCTTGGTCTGAATTTGGGCGCCAAAGCTCATGGCTTGAATTCCGATTTCGGACTGCAGGACATCAACACCCAGAGGAACCAGGCCAGACAACACAATCGTGGTGCCTTCAAGCGTTGACGCCTTCATCGTGTCCAGGACATATCCTACATCGGGAACAGCGGCAAGGTCGACGGTCTCCTCGCTCTTCTTCTTAGGAGGGGTTGACTGCTGGGGCGCGGCTGCACGCTTCTCGTCGTACTCCTTGTAGAATCTCTCATGGAGACGAGTGAGATGTTGCTGTAGGTAAATCAGCTCCGCGTCGTCGTCGCGGAGAACCTGCGATCGGTGTTGCACTATCATAATGTGCTCGCCATCTTCAGTCTCCTGTGTCGCCTTCTCCTTCTCTTCGCTTTCCTTATCCAGCTGCTCTTGCATGTGGAGTAGAGGGCGGTCCTTGATCTGCTGCTCCAAAGACTTTTCCTGCTGCTCTGTCTGCGCGGCTTGCAAGGCCTTATCCTCCCCGCTGCTCATGCTGACCAACTCGTCGATGGCCGATACTTTGCCGTTTGTCTTCACCTCGGGCGCGGGTGCAATTGGGGTGGGCTTGACTTCGGGGTCGGCAGGCGCGGGGAGAATGTCTTGACGCTTGGGCAAAAAGCTCGAGTTGATGTCACCGATGCCCCTGAAGAAGTCGTAAGGGACGACCTTGATCAGGTTTGGTCTATTCCGGGGCCACACATCGGCTCTGTCGTCGATGATGACCACCATGTTGGTGTTAACCGGGAACAGGCGCTGGAGACTTTTTGATATCATGCTTCCGTTCTCGTCACGGCTGATTACTCGGTTGCCGAACAGTTTCCTATCGGGGTCGACGATCTGGGCGATGTTCATCGCATACGCACGAGTTCCCATGGTGTACACATGGAGTTCGTACAGTTCTGATATCTTCTCGAGGAACTCCTTCAACCCAGGTCGCATCTTGATATAGTACCAGCAGCCTGATGTGACCACGCCTCTGGGCCCCTCGTCATTCAGTTGAAACTTCTTGACGTCCTTGACGGCGTTGTAGTTGGGATTTGTCGGGTCCTCCATCCATTCGCCGACGGTAGGTTCGATGCAAGCGTGGATAATGGTCTGGTCGAGATCCACGACAAGGCTGAGCTTGCGTTGGCGGAGCAGGCGCTTCTGGGTATCGTGCTCGGCGCGCGCAGCGAGGTCGCCGCTGACCATGAGGCCAGTCTGGTCGTGTGTCATATTGATGGTGGCGCGCTGGGTATCGCGCTGGTCGCTGGCCCAGTTCACCTCGGTCATGTCCTTGCCGCAAATGGCGCAGAGGCCCTGGAACTGGATCTCGTGAGAGCAGGCCTCCTCGACAACCATGCATGGCGCGTCGCGTGTGAAGGTCATGCCCTCCTTGAGGCGCCATTCCTTGATGGTGCCCTCGGCAGGACTGTCCCAGCCGACGACTGTTGTCTCCTCCTCCTGCCATGTGTTGCCGGCGATGGGGTCGCCGACCTCGCGCATCCACTTGAATGAATATTCAAGGACGCTCTCTTGTTTTGCGACAGCGTCGCCGGGTTTCTTGAGAATTTTTGTGATTGTAATCGGGTAGCGCAAGCGCGCGCCGAGAGATAGTAGCTTACCCATGGCGGTGGGTTGCTAACTGGGAGGACTAGTTAAAAGTCTGTTGCGAAGAAAAGGTAAAAGTCAGCTCCGTTGGTGGTATAAGACGCGTGCACAGGGTGAGGGCGTGGGTCGAGGGGAGGTGGGTGCCAGTCTGAAGGGAGCGACGATGGGATAGTTCGCAATGCAATGACGACGGCAAAGGCGGGATTGAAAAGCAAGTTCAACGACTAACCTAAAGGGACTCCCCCAGTCGCGGTCAAAGAAGGTGCCGGTGATGTCTCCAATCCCATGGCCCCTAAGCTGTGCGCGTCGAGTGGAAGAAACGCAACAGGCAGAACAGCTCTGGAGCGTTGCGCGACAGTGCGCGGTTAACAGGAACAGTGGTTTTCGAGTTGACTTGTTCTGAATATGGGAGAGAGAGATGGCAGGTGAATAGGCGCGGGAGTTCGGGACGAGTTGGAGAACCCAGCCGGGTCGAGGTCTGAACTCTTGGGTGTCTTGCGGCGCAATTGACTTTGGCGACGGATGACGCAATTGGACGAAAATGTGCGTTTGAACAACGACAGGTGCTGCTGTCGCAAATAGTTGGGCGGATGGTTGATTGCTCTGGCTCGTGTATTTCCGAGCCGGGCGTTTGCTTCTTGTCGAAGGTGTTGTGTCGTTGGATGGTGGAAGAGTTGGAGCTTCGGATTTCTGGTGGTGGAGGCGTCTGGACCTGGACGGATTGTGGATGCAGGTAAGGTACCTCACGCTAGATGGCGGAGGACAGGTGGGTCTGCCTTGCTGGAGCGTGCTGCTGCGTGACGCAGTCTGCAAACGGAAAGGGTAGGTAAGGCAACCTAGGTGAGGTCCGGTAAGGAAGGGCCAACCGGCGAGTCCAGGCGTTGCGGGGTGGGGTCGGGTGTCGCGGTAAGAGCACGGACCAGGAGAGCCGGAGATCCGGAGACTGGTTGTTCCGGGAGACGCTCGGACCGTTATGCGCTCCGTCGGTGATATGGGGCACAGCTTCAACGAGTGCCGAGTGGCTCCCTAGGTTAGGGTGCACCTTGGGAAGCTTAGGTCTAAGGTAGGCAAGGCACACGGTACCGTGACACTGACTGAGCAGTTGACCTGAATGAAAGTTCTCGTTTCCTTTTGTTACCTCGGCGTCTTCGGTGATCGGGCTCCGATGTGTTGCCAAGGTGAGAACACGAAAGGGATATGTATCGTAAGAGCTGCAAGTGGTTGACGGTACTGCAAAGCGACTCAATGGTTGATGAGCCGAGCTGATGTCGGAGAAGTAGATGCTCTGGCTTTTGTACGGTGTCCAGCTTGACTGGTGGTTGTCGTGGTGGTGAGCTGTGGTGTGATGGATGGGCGACGGGCAGTGGTGTTGGTGATGATGGATAAGACACGCTCAAGAGAGGTACCGGTACAAACGAGGCAGGGTAC